CGAAGCCCTTGCCGACACGGGTCACAGGGTCGCGGACAACACGGACACTCTCAACCTTGCCGCCCTCCTTTCCGAATACCCGCCAGAGACCTTCCTCGACATCCATGGGCTGCTTTGTCCGCTTCTTCTTCTCGGTCACCTCCTTGCCGTCCTCGTCCACCTTCACCTGTAGCACTGTCTCGTCATCCACAAACCCAAGGTTGCCGACGAAGACGCAGCGCTTGTGGTCTACCGGGGCAGGATGGGCAACACTGTCGACACGGACGTGGCGATCCAACACAATTGTGCCGTTGAGTTTCGAGCAGGCAAGACGAGCAGCCGCAGGGGTGCTGTAGACAACATAGGCGTTTGTCGATTTCGTGGTGGCCTCCATCACGGACTTCTTGATATAAGCGGCGCGCTTGGGAATGGCAGCGGTAGCGAAGGCAGTCGAGCGGAACCGTATCGACTCAACCTTTTGCGCAGGCTTCGCCTCCTTGTCCAGCACTGAAGCCATATGCTTCATCAAGGTCTTCTTGGCCGAGCGAGAGGTGACGGCCTCAACGGCGATATTGCTGAGGAAGACTGTGCGGTTGGCCTTCTCAATCTCGTTCTGGGCAGCATCGGGCGCTAGCGATTCGTGAACGGGGACCTCATCCTCAGACTCGCTGTCGTCGTCCTTCTCGGCTTTAGTGGTTTCCTTCTTTTCTCCGGATTGCTCGTCGGCCTTGAGACGTTTGCCAGCCGGCTCTTCGTCGTCCTCCGCCAACTTAGACAGGTATTTGTGTTCGAGATTGTCGTGCTGGTCGCGTTGCTTGCGCTTCCGTTTCCGTCCATCTTCTTCCGCGACCTTTCCTTGCTCTACAACAGCTTCGAGGATCTCGGCGGCTTGAACCTGGTCATCTTCGCTGTCGTTGTCGTCCTCGGCCTCCTCATCTTCGTCATCCTCTCCAATGCCGACCTCGGAATCGTATTCTTCGTCAAGCTCGCTCAGTTCCTCGTCATCGCCCTCCTCCTCGACTTCCTCCTCTTTCTTGGATGGTACTGGCGCCTTCTTGGGCTTTGATGGTAGGGGCTCCGAGTATTTCGCGGCTGGGCGGGGCTTCGCTGGACCAACCTACGCAAAATTAGCTATGTTGTCTTCCAATTGCCTGTCTGTCAGAAGGAAATAGCTTACACTGGTAGCGAACAAAGCATCCAAGCTAGGATCAACCTTCTTCACCGGCGCAACGAGTCCTTTACTATAGTACTGGTGTCAGCATACTGAAGAACGTTGCTGACTGGAAGGTAAGATTGTTCGCACGTTTTGCCCATTGTGATGTTTGCGTCGTGTGTCGAAGCGCAAATGGAAGTGGCACGGTTCGCCAATCAGGTACTGTGATTGACTTGTTTCTAGGAGCACAGAAGAACAACTGAAGTTCGACGACAAGACGAAAGAAAAGCTCGACTTTCAAAAATGTAAAAGTCGAATTGCAAAATGTAGCTTCTGATTTCTAGGTAGAATGTTGTACAAGTCAAGACCAGTTTCTGGGCGGAAGGTTCAATGGTCCAGGGTCTCCAGGGTCGCCGTTTCTACCTTCCCCACTGCGCATCGCAAGGACGAGTCGAGGAACATGATGCATCCAAAAAATTCGCTTATCAGTCGTTATCGCAACTGCCAAGTCTCACCGCCTGCCATCACCTTTCTGTCGTGCAGTGCGACGGGCGGCGGCGGCAGGCAAGCGGGCAGGCAGGAGCCCCCCAGAAACCGGTTGCCCATTCGTGTCGTACTGGTACGGTGCAGTGCTGTGGGCACTGGGCGCTTCTCCAGCTTCCAGTCTCGTCAATACTGCTCCTCACCCACCCGATCTGTCTTCCTACCTCGACCGCATCTCTCGACAATCGCTGCCTCGTACCGACAAGCTAGTCATATCCCCGAGACATTTCATTGTGTGCGAACACACGTCTTTCTACCTTCCAGCATTAATACACTTCACCCTGCTCGTCGCGCCACCACTCCAGGCGCTGCTCTTGAGCTGCCCGTGCAGTTCGGAAGTCCAGTCCAATCCGCCGCCCACTACTCAATTCTACGTGGCTTTCAACTTTCATTTCTCATCCGCTCAAACCCACATCGGCGCGTCGTTGCTTAGCTTTAATCTCGTCGGATTCTATGATCCGCGATGGCTACTGGTGACACCGCGCTGTCCTTGGCTCTCTCGAGCCCCCCTCCGCCTCTGCTACAACACAGCCCCAGCGATGTTTCAAGCCCACTTAGTGACGTGGAAGACAAGCATGGAGATCCTGACGACATGGATTTGGACATGACCAGTAACCACTCTCAACATCGCGAGGCATCGGTCCGAACTGACAATCGCGATGGCGCCGACTCGGACCTTGGCGCCGAGACTGACGACGAGAGCAAGCTGTCGGATGTGGATATTAATGACTCCGAGGCAGAGACAGAGAGACTTTACGATACACCACCAAAAGATCGAGTATCACGCGACATCGTGGACACCGCTGGTGAGCCTGGCACTCGACAATTCACCGACCGCCACGATCGGACGTTCGAGCGCAGCCCTAGCAAGCTTCAGCAGCAAATCAAAGCTGATTACGAACCGGAAAACACCGCCAGCGGGCGAAACACTCCATCAGAAGAAGCAGAAGAGGGTGACGAAGAGGCCTCGGAAGATCTGAGTGAGGAAGAGCCCGAATCTGCTGCCGAACTACCACCTGCGCGATCTCCCGTGCTGGCGAAGAAAGTACAAGCAGTTTCCGCCTCGACCGAAAAAGTCCTCACACTATCACCCCGACATGATACCCTAAAGCGGAAACGCTCCTCAATCACCGAGCAACAAGATCTCAGCCAACCGCTCAAGAAGCGGACCGAATCAAATACCTCTCCCGAAGAGCTCTCAGCCGATGACGTGCCTGTCGTTGACATCGAGGTCATTTCGACGAACCCCGAAAGCGGCAACCAGTCTGCCGAGGAAGATAACAATGATGAGCCAGTCACCACGGCCGGCGCCGATAGCGCAACGAAGGATGAAACGGAGCTCACGGAGGCGATCGAAGAAGACGCGACAGACGGTCGAACCAAAAAGGGAAAACGCGGTGTCACGAAGAAAAGAAGGAGCCCGACCCCTGACGAACCAGGCGGGGATGAGATTGAAGAGACAAATGCCGACGCTTCTGCTGATGTAGACGTTGTTGCCGTCGAAGACTCTGGAGCGCAAGCTGAAGAGGACCAAATAGATGATGTCGATGAGGAGGCTGAAGCAGCCCACAGAAACGAGGAAGAGTGTATGTGTACCGTGTTCTTCCATCCAATTTACCTTGCACATACTAATGGATCACTGCAGTGGAGCGGAAGAAGTCCGCCTGGGAAGAGCTTACAGCAATTGAAAAACAATTCAGCAGTTTCCGGGAGCGGTGAGTTTGCCAGGCATCATTTTCATCTCTGGATTAGACCTAACAACTTCACAGCCTATATCAGGAACGTCTAGAGCAGCTCAATCAGGAAGAAGCCATGCTAACCTGCGAAAACCCCACCCATCCCGAGTATCTGGCGATGCTACAATGTCTGAATGCCCGACGAGAGGAGAGGATAAAGACCAGCACACTCGAGTTACAATTCAGAATGGCGATGCTTCAAAGGCGCGCGGTGGCAGAACGAGCACAGATACTGTCGCAATACCACCAAGCTGTGCGCGAGTCGCGCGAGAAGGTCCTCGAGGAGCTTGGTCAGGAATGGTACGATATACAACAAGAGCGCAGACGGTTTGCCAACGCAATACCCGACTACGGAATCCATTACCCCACCGTCAAAACACAGATTATTCGCAACGCTGTTGCGTACAATAAGGAAGTGTCGATCTTGTCGGGCTTTGCCAAACACGTTGGATTCCCTGCTGCGCCACCAATACATGGCGCATCTGAGGATCAGGTGGAAAACGATCTCGAAGCTATAGCTGTGAGTGTTGGAGGTATCTTAATGCATACTGCCTTTACATACTAACTGCGGCTGTAGCGATCTCGCGAGCCTGTCCCTCGGCCTATACCGAACTATCCTCCCGCTTTCCATCAAGAGTATTCCTCCGCCGGGCTTCCATTTGGGCGAACCCCCCTTGGCCCCGCCGGTGAACAGTTTATCGAACAAACACCTTGGGCGAACCCAAATCACCCAGCCCATCAGATGCAGCGACAACAATTACATCATGATGTGCCTTTTGCTGGGCCTCCCTCCGGACCACGACACCACTCGCAACAACCTATGGCTCCGTATACCACAAATGGATTCGTTGCAGTCAACGGGGACGCGCATCCGGTTCATCTACAAAAGGGGCATGCCTCCAGTGCTCACGAGCCAGTAAAGAGCGCCAAACTTGGGCCAGAGCAGGTAATGAAGCGGGAGGGCGTTCCTCAGGTTTCATGAAACGCTTAGGAGCACCACCGGGAAGCATGGTCAAAAACATTGCAAGCAGACAGATTTGTTTATTTTCTTGAGGGGCATTCGGATTAACTAGTCAGGCATGAAGGGTGTTTTACTCCGCTCTGTGCTTGTTGCAGCATTGAGCGACGGTGGGAAGGAGTTCATGGGGTTCATAGATGATTTATTTCACAGTGGCATGTTTGGGAGGTTCAAAGTTCGGAGTACGGGTGGGATGTTCGTTGGCTAATCCAAGTCAACCAATGTGTATATGCCAGTGCAGGGTAGCTGGGCGAGTTGTTATACTGAGCGTTTGGGTTTTTGGGGCCATGCACTCTCTTGCCCCCTTTACATACGAGATATGGTCGGGATATATATATGCCTTTTAACGAAGAAGGTACCCTTTTGGATACTCCCAAATCACAAATACAACACGGCTGGGGTGTGAACTCCTGCGCGAGGGAGTCTCTGACTCCTCTTTCCATCCAAAAAGCTGTGTTTCGCCCTGTTCCGTTCCCTGAACGCCATCATAATGTACACGGCCGGGGCCGCCCTCTTGGATGCCCGTGCCTGTCCGTAGCGGCCGACGCCACAGAGCTCATATTACATCTGTCTATTTCTTCTCGGGAACCTTGACGTCCTCGAATTCGTCCTGGCCGACGACGTTCAGGGTGTAGGCATCTAGAAAGGAGGGGCGGTTCGTCAGCTCAAGGGTGTATATACTCGGCGGGCAGGACGGCAGTGGTGGGTAATAAATCGTGGGGTGTTGTCTTTCGGCATGTAGAAGGGTCTGATGTAGGTGTGGATAAAGGTTGAGGCGACGTACAGACGGCGAGGGTAAAAGCGGTAATGCTGGCACCGAGAACAACGTTCTTGAAGAGGTACGGGCGACGCGCGCGAATCAGAGCCGCCGACTGGCGGTGGTTGCGGTCATAGTAACCGGAGTTGGGACGGCTGTTCATCTTTGCGATTAGTGCTGTTGTGGGCGGAAACTCGGCGCAGCAGAATTGCGACTCACCCAGACATGTTGCTTTTAAATTGACCGATTTCGGAAGCAAAACGATGGGTGAGCAGCTCTAGCACCGGATGATGTCGTCTTCGAGACAGCAGACGGATCCAGGAAAAAGATGGGTGGGTCGGATATTGCCGTATGCTTCTACGGTGCACTAGAAAGCTTATCAGCTCTCATCAGCGCTGTGCCGCGAGACAGGCGAAGCTGCCCGCTGTGGTTCGGGTTTCTTTAACAAGCGGCAGGCAATCAAAGCCGCGGCAGGCATGATCACCACCTGCGCTTGGTGTACCTGCGTACCTAGCCAATATGATCCGTGCGCCAACACCCTTGCCCCTGCCACTTCTTCAAGACAAGAGGAATGACGGCGCGTCAAGAAGGTTTCTAGGGAAAGCTCCAGTTGCCAAATCTATAAACTGCCACTGCACCACACAACTACCACACAATTGGAACCAACACGAAAGAGCTCGCCTTGGAATTTCGCGACACCGATTACTGTTCAAGAGGATTGACGACGGCTCTTGAACTGGCTACCAACTCAACTGCTTCCTTCTATTTATTGAGCGACACCGGCTAGGAAACCAGCAACAATCGCAACTCTCGACGAACGCCGACTCAGCACGAGAGAAGGACGGGACAATACGAGGCGCCTTCCACGTCGCGTAGGATGAGTGACACTGTCCAGAAGCCACTGGAATCAACATACAACAGAATTGGGGGACTGTCTCTGGATTAAGTCTTGGGCCGACGACAACGGGAGCAGCTAGAGAAGCTGTGTTTGCGTTTTGCACCTGCGCACCCATCCAGCAAGCAGCCTTCGTAGACTCTTTTGACCTACCTCTACATCCATCACAATCACATACTTGCACCCACTTGGTTGTTACGTCTTGCGATCACACCAGCAACGATCTCCGTCCATATACCACACGCCCCTCACTTCACCCGGGTAGCGCAGTGCATATATCTGCCCATTGATCACCATGGCTTCCCCTGTAGAGACGCCCACGATGAGCGAGCAAATACAGCAGCTCAGCGCTGCCCGCAAGATGGCCCTCGAAAACCCTGGCTATTTCAAACAGATCATCCAGGGTATTCTGCCCCTCACGGCCCCGTCTGCTCCTGTCGAGCTGCGCAGATGGGCCGCCGACTTTATCGCAGAAGCGCTCGCTTGTCCAGCTTTGAGGACGCCAGACAAGGGGGACTTGACTCTAGCGATAATAGACGCGCTGCGGTCACTGGTGGAAGCTCCTGATCAGGATCCCCTAGTACTCAAGGCTGGTATCATGGCGGCGGCGAGTGCGTATCCAGTTATCGTGAGATGGATGTAAGTAATGCACCTACTAGGGTCGATGGCCTCGCCTTCCGCGCTATGTGGTCTCGTATATTGTGTGTCTGATGTCCATGATATCCCGTGTTATGGTTCCCACTTGTCTTCTACACCTGCGCTCCATCAGACACACATGTCCTCCGGGCACTATCACGGTTTTGTCCAGGACGGTTCAACACACCTCTTCATGTCCCCTGGTTACTAATCATCTTGACGCACAGTATTGGCAATGCCTACCACCCCGCTGCCTGGGAGGCTATGTCAGCGATAAAGTCGAAGATATTGTCAGTATGGGAGGGCGCTCTCACGCCGGTCAAGCTATGCTGTATCAAGTTTGTTCAGCGAGTTATCCTTGCTCAGACGGCGTCAAACGGCACGGAACCGAAGGTTAATACAGTCTCCCTCGCGTTCTTGGGTTATATACTAACAGCTGATGTCAGCATTCTGGCCTGGACGTCAACCTGACCATGATTCCTCCTAATCACAATCTCCTAGACCCTCGGCTTCTCGAGGCTGAAGCCATTGGCCTCCTTGACAGGATGCTTGGTGGTCTCCAGGATAACAGCAGGTGCGTAAGGGCTGCCTTTTCCACGTCTATAACTAGCTAACCGCCCGTGCCATTCCCGTATACAGTGATGCTCTGATTGTAGATGCCACTCTCAACACTTTGGCCATTCTCGTCCGCACTCGTCCTGCCACCTTCAGCCGTATCACAAATGCCGTTCTCAACTTCAACCCTCTGAAACTGGCCAACTCCCCTATGACACCCAAGAACAAAGTTCTCGTCAAGTCAATGACGAAGACAACCCAGATGCTTTTGAAGCATCTGCTCATGAGGTAAGAAATATCCGGTTACCGCTCATGCTTCTCTTGCTAACTAGGATAAGGGATTCTCATAACCCGTTGGCGCCGCGCCTTTCTCAACACTTCGATAGACTTCAGCGGTCCCGCTTGGAGATCTTTGATGAGGCGAACCGCAAGCGGGCTCTTCCTGAGCAGGCTGCTGCAGGTTATGGTGATGTGAAGAGGCAGAAGACTGAGGCAGCCGCACCCCAGCCTCCACTCCGCATCCAACCACTTGCACCAGGGCCACACACTCTGGCTGAAGTGTTCAGTCTCACCAACAACACAGGCTTGCAGGGCTTTGATGTGACTCTAGTACCTGCCCCGCTAACTGCTAGAATCAATGTCAGGACGCTGGCGTCACTAGACCAAGGGCAGCTTGATTTGGCCATTAATGTAAGACTCCAGCGGTTTCTTGATAGGGGTGACGATGCTGACACTGTCACAGGGAGTCCGTGACCGATTAATTGCTTTGTATGCTGCGGCACCTGCCGTAGCACCAGTCCCGGTACCAGTCCCAGCAACGGCGACAGCGCAACAAGCTTCGGTTAATGCCGAGACGGTTAATGCCGAGACGGTTGCCTTGGGTGTTGAGGAAGATGACGACGCCTACGAACCCGACTTCTACGCTGCCGAAGATACCGAACAAATACTCAACAAGCTCGATAACGCGCCTCCGGAGGAACCACCTGAGCAGAACGCTGAGCCTGATTCTGCCTTGGCTCTCGGCCCGTTCAGACTCCCGCCCCCGCCTGTTCTCAACCCCGATACTGCTGTCAAGGTCAGCCAGATCACTGCTATGCGCATATTTGGGCCTCTCTCAGGTCTCGAGGACCCCCTTGTCCGCAAACCCAAGGCCGGCCTCAACCGACTGGCCGCCAACTCACATGATCGCGACTCATGGCTTACACTGATAACGCGCCTTGCAACCCGCAGCACCATGGGCCTGGAGGACGATATCAAAACCGAGGCGGACGCTACCGCTCTTGGCCGCCCACAGATGAGCCTGGGCAACCTGATCCGCGAAATGCTTTTCAACTACGTCCTCGAAGACTGGCGGCGCCGTATTGAGGTTGCCGTGGCATGGTGCTGCGAGGAGTGGTACAATGACCAACTAACGAAACGTGAGGGACTCGGCGCACCGCTGAATTACGAGCGGTGCGCGTTGCGTCTGATGGATGGCTTCCTCAGTTATATCACGGCTCAAGACAAGGTTCTCACGCGGTTCCTTTCGGAGATTCCGCAACTCAGCAGAGAGCTTCTCGGTCGCCTCAAAGGTCTTTGCAGCGATCCGACCACGGTGCAGCTTGCTATGACCAGTCTGCTTTACTTGGTGATGATGAAGCCGCCAGCGAGGGAGCTTGCTCTGGATACTGTGTATGAGATTTGGGTCGAGTGTGAGTTTTGCCTTTTCCGACTATGTTTAAACGGTCCGCTTACTGACATGTTTGGTGAACCAGATGAGGATGCACGTCCTTTGGCAGAAAAGTACCTTCACAGGTGGCGGCCTGGATTCGCCGAGGCTCATGCTGCCGCCAACGGTGCCCCTGGTGGTAATGGCTCTCAGGCAATGACTGCATGAACCTAATACCTTTGTCACATAATGCGTTACCCGTGGGTGTTGAGGTGGCACCTCAACACCCACGGGGATTATCAAGACGGGCGGTTCATCACTTCCGGAACAGCTTTTGTATTAGGGTTATATCCAAATAGTCACAAAAAGTTTTGTGGGACAGAGCGAGCATGATATTGCTGCTTACGCATTTGGTAGCAAAGACCACAAGCGTGGTTATTGAGGTGGTTTTCTGCTGTTATCAAATAACATGGAGCGGGAAGATCTTTGCAAACGACAGGCTACATCCTTGAGAAAAGAAATACCATGTAGAATAGAAAGAGTCGTCAGGCATTGCCGCTGCTACTCCGGTCGCAGCTCCTTGTTGAAACCAAAGCGTGATAAGATGTCGGATGTAGTTGCGAAAAGGGGTTTACGTCTGTAACCCTAACCCGTGAGATATGTGAAGTAAACAAACCGGCAAATAACCACCCACTATGATATTCGGCAAAGGGAGAGCGCGGACTGCTGTTGAGTATGGGTCCACACCACTTTATCAGACCAAAAGTATCTTGGTACGTCACAGGCCGCCGGCCGACTGTCTCTCGGTCCCGGTCCCGAGTGCTGTGAGTCCTGTATCGGGCCCGACCTGAGAGGGCGAGAATGACATATGTATACCGAAGTTTCGAGATAAGGAAGGTGTGATATGGCGGCAGTTCCCGTCACTAATGGCCGACTTAAAGCAGGTACGGCCGGCGTGCCTACCTTAGTGCTGTACTGTTGGGTGTCCCAGAACCGGCCTCAAAACCTCCGCATATCACCAGAGAAGTCGATCATGATCTTCCGTCTTTTGCTACCTTATGTGATTAGAGCTTTAAGCCACTTGCCCATAACAAGCCGCTGCAATCATCATGACATCTCATGAACCTGTTGGTTTGGACCCGAAGTGGAGGTGTTGATACCAGTCCCGGGAGACGGGATGATGGACCGGGATGTCCCCGCCTTCCACTTTCCATGTTTTGCCCCTGCGCCCAGGTGCCGTAGCAGTGGGCTAGGCGGTGCTATTCCAAACACAAAACCCACCTGTCTGTTCATCGTCTTTTCGACACAACAGCAACACGCAACCTGAGGTTCACGTCCATCTGGCCAGGGACCATCCAACGTGAGAGGTCCTGACCGGTTTTCTTGTAGCCAGAGAACAAGGGACCGAAGAGGGAGAAAATCATAGATCCTCAAACACTAAGACTACCTACCTACTACTGTCCCTGCTAGGTGTCTGTTGGTGATTCCGGTCACCGGGTCCTGCTCACTCATCTTATTTTCACCCTCTCTGCATTACAGCAACCCCGGGGCAACTGTATCGCGCTGGTGACTTCAGGTCAGGCACCCTGCAAACTCGGAAGCTACAGTGGAACCAATTTTCTTCGTTTGACGTTCATCCCCTTGCTCTTGGAGAAGGCACAGCCTGCAATGTCCAGTTAACAATTGGGATAGCTGGATGTCTAATTCGCGACGCCTTGAAGCTATCGACGTTCAATTAAATGCAAACCCAAGTAAACGGGGCAGTCTAGGAATCCGGGGCATAGATTGTGTTGAAACATTTTGAGGTTGTCAGTGAAAGCAAAAACTCCCCGTCCCAAGTCGGACAAACGGCCCTGCATCAGAAGGCAGCGCATTAGCAGCAACCACCCCGTTGTGTCACTCCTGCATTTCAGGGACGACCCGACATCACAGGCCACAACTCCGGAAAGTGTCGACCCGCCTCCCCATGCCCAGTGCGCCGTCAGGTCCGCGTAGATCCACCGAACGATTCCACCGACCTCAGGCACTGGCTGCCACTGACTGGGCATCCCCCTGGCCTGCCCTGGCGAACCTGGCGTGCCTAGGCTGTCAAAGGGTCCAAGTGTCAACCGCTAACCTCTGCCCGTACCTGACTCCCGGACAAGAAATGTGCAGTCGTTCTGTCAAGTGTCTCCCACATTCCAACAACAACCTCGCCTTCTCCGTTCATCAAGACCGACGACGAGGCTGGTATGTATGTATGCCCTGTCCCTCCTTTCCAGCCAATACCCGGACGGGATATCCGTGCCCGAATGAGCACATCCATACATGTACCTAACCAAACAATGGACGGGAAGAATAAGACAGTGTTACCTTAGCCGCACCCGCGGTGGACGGGAGTGCATGTCCAAGTATCTGTTACGGTGCCTTGCCTTCTCCCAGAACCTGTCTGCAGTGAGGTTCTCCATTGCATTGTTTTCTCTTGATATTCTCGCCGACACCGACTCAACAGGTTTGAAGTACTTTGGGGCTAACATTGACGTTGACCAAGACTTTCCTGCCGAACTCCCCGTCACGATAGAAGCCGCGCAATTTCCGTCCCCAACGGTCGATCCAATCTACACAAAGACTCCCGTTCGCACGACCGGTGATTGACCGGGCCGCCGGTTCGCCCTGTCCGACCCTCGCGCACGCTCCCGAAGGTACAATCAACGTCGTCATGTCCCGGTCGTCTGTCAATGGAGACAACGGCAAATCACTGCTTTCCGCACCAGCGTCACCCCGATCACCCACGAGAGCTCTTTCGCGAATGAACTCAACTATACGCGCCGTCCCTAGCTTCGACGACAGGATATCAGAGGACTCGAGTACCGGCACGGTTCCTACCTCAAATACAGCTTCGCGAAACTCGACCCTTTCTAGCTCAGTGAACAGCTCTGTCAGCATGGGTTCCGCCTCCCAAGACCAATTGAAGCTACAGAATGGGGAGACCAAGACTCCTGCACCGACTGTAAGGCTGAGGCCCAGCCCATCATTCAACAATCTATCGGAAAAGTCGGTATCTAGTTTGGATGTACCAAGGAGGCTGGGCACAAAATCAAGCTTCGAGTTTCTAAACCGAGACAGCAGCCTGAACGCAACAGCAGCACCACAGAGTCCCAAGTCGGACAACGGAGGATCCAGCATGCAGGAAACAATAAACGCCACCGAGGCCAACCTGGCCGGGGGATGGGACTCGACAATCGGGAAAGCCGGGTTAGGCAAGACGGGGCGCGTCATCAACAAACTGGTGTCCGACAACGAGACGCTGAAGCGCGACCTTCAAATCGAAAGGTTACGAGCCGAAGAGTCGAAAAATGCAGCGAAACTGTTGGAAGACAAACTCGAGCGCATGGTCACAGATTATGAAAGCCGGCTACTGGAGGCCAACGTAACAAAGACACTTCTGGCGCGTAAGGAACGACAGGTAGCGAGCCTGCAGGAGACTGTTGACCTGGAGCGGAAGCGGGCCGTGGACGCAGGCGAGCGTGAGCGGACGTGGAAGGATGAGATGGAACGTGTAAAGGCCGACGCCAAGAAACAAGTCGACGACGCAACCAACCTCGCAGCGCTTATGGAGGGTCGATATAATGCTATCAGCAGCCACTGGAAGGAACAAGGGGAGGAAGTCAAGCGAACCGTGGCCAAGATGCGGACCGAGATCGCCAGTCTCCTAGAGGAGAGGAGGCGGGATGACGACCGGATAAATACTCTACGCGATTTATGTGACCAACAGGATGGAAACATACGCGAGCTGAGGAAACAGAAGGAGGACATAGCTGCGCAGTTTGAACGGTATAAGATTGCGCAGGAAGAGTCGTTAAAGGACATCAAATCCAAGGCAAGACAAAGGGAGCTTGAACAGGAAAAGACACTTCAGGAGACCAAGGAGGTGTTGGATAAACTGAAGTGGGCACTCAGTGTCAAGGAGAAAATTGAGTGGGCTCAGTAGCCAAAGGGTAGTTCAAAGGGCGGTCGGCCTCTGCCTGTTTTCACACACAAAGCTTAAGCTTTTCGGAAGAGGATGGATGATTGACGTTCCTTGACCCCAGGGCTGAAATCTGCCTTGGGAGCTTTCATGTTGCTTGCTGTCAAGATGGGCACCTGGTGAGCAACCATCTCCTACTCCTCATGGTCACGGCATACACAGGATCCCCGGTGGTCTTGGTCCATGAGAGCGGGACAGGCATTCCGCTGCAGCACTCGCGATGTCAACACGCTGTGAAGATATCAGATGAGAAAAGCAGTCACTGAAAGATTCTTGTCTGGATACTGTACCCTAACCCTGTTGTCAACACTACATGTCTTCTACTTTTTATTACCCTTTTCAAAGATCATAGTCATTGGGGTTATGGAGTTTTAAGGAGCTTGGGAACTCAGCAGGATCTCTTTTGGAACCGATGGGATGGCGCATATACTGGCACTTCTTTATGGGCTGGACTGAAGTTTAAGGATTGTGTGTCATATCAAAGGGAGGTTTTAAAACCCGTCATACTTCGTCACTTTTTTTTTGTTTTCTTGATACCTAATTAAGGTCTTTTTTTTCCCAGTATGTACCTATGCAAACGCACTGCAATTTGCCTGCCTGAGTTTCATCCGTTGTCTTCTTTTTTCCAATGTTTGGAGTCATCCTCCTGTTTACATCAATGCTACACCGGAAGGAGCGGGTTTGATTCTGGAAGCTTAGATACCTCTGCCCGAATGCGATACCCCTTTTCCTTCCGCTGTTGGTAGGTGTCTTGACCGTGAAACGGAAGCAGTCATCTGTTTTCAATGATCTTTTTGCTCCGCCGGACGGATCACGGCAAACCTTGTGACGATAAATGAGAGTGTCCCTGACGGGTGCTCCCGTCATGTCCATAGTACTACCCCCCAACGGTTCGGTTGCTCTTGCCATAGCAACCGAGTCCTGTCGAATTCCTCTCAACAATCCTTCTCTCACCTTCCATCTGATTTCCTCTGATTTATTTCCCAACTGTTTGTTACAATTTCTGTCCCGCTTCCCCCACCACAACAAGCATTGATCTGTCGCCGCCCCTCACGCAGCATGAACTCCCACCTCTCTCAACCTTGCTCGATACACTTCAACTAGCCGCGAGACCAAGCTGAGGCACACTTGCGTCGCTTTCCCTTCCCCAGCTGACTTCTAGTCCTCTATTTGAGCGGTGTTCAATCTCCTTCCACGCCTGACTTCTCTCCGGTCCTCAAACGCCAGGCGGCCGTCTGTCCGCCCCAAACATCATGGCTGCACCTCCTCCACCCGCATCCAGAAATGACAGTCCCAGCAAGCCTGCCCGGGACGAGTTGAAGCAATACTATTTGTGTTCCGCGTGGAAGTTTACGGACCGCGCAGTTGACCATCTGATTGCCAAACTGAGAGACCAGAAAATTGTGAGTTACTGCTTCGCAAACTCAGACGCACCTCAAATTCCACCAAGCTGACTTGCGATTTATGATATTTAGCAAGATGCCGACTTCAGTTGGGAGCCCAAGTACCGATGGATCAAGACGATTTCTCCAGCCAGCAAGGAAGCCGAGATACGAAAGTTTTGGCAAGAGCTTGTGACAGAGGTCGAACAAGACGCCTATGAACGTGCCGAGGACGATATCATCGAATACAACTTCACGCTCAAGGTAGATCAATTTCCAAGTCCTCCAAAAGCAACAAGTTCTGCGGTCTGATTCTTGTCATAGCACGGTTTCAAGGACGAAATGATCGAGTACCCAGATGGGCTCTCCGACTCTAGCGATGGTGATGCCAACACTCCCAGCAGCAATGGCTCCGACGAAAACGCAACGCGCAATACCTTCCCTCCACAGTTCAGCAACCGATTCCCTAGCCTTGGAACCTGGACCAAGCTCGAGGGAGAGGACCCGTCTCTCACAATTCAACGCGTCTTAAACGAAGATGACCGACTCCAGCTTCAGCAAGATACCGGCGTTGAGATTTCGTACGATCTCGGAAAGGTTGTATACCTTGGTGCAGAAAGCCAAGACGCAATCAAGAAGGCCAAAGAGAAATTAGATGTCCTGCTGGAGTCTATAGTAAGTCCTTTGGATATTCAATCTGTCCACTCTGGTCCAACTGCTGACGTTTCCACAGACCGCTCCCGGACCTAATCTCCAATTTGTCCTCTACGCCGAAGGCTACAAGGACCCGGTGCTCAACGACTTCAAGTCCGACATCCGATATCTGGCCAATATCGACCCCAAACTTCCGTCTACGACTCTTCTGGATCCGATCCTATTTCCAGATTTAGCACAAGAGTATGCTCGCATGTACCACGTTGGAAGTTCTATTCGACTTTGTCCATACAACTCCGTGTTACGCGCACACTCGTCTCTATTCGGCCCTGAGATTTTGACCAGGAAGCGGAAGAAGGATGATCTGTTGGCGCCGCGTCCTGTTCTCACTACCAAGTCAGAAAGGGTCTTGACTGACACATCTACTGCCTCCGTTGACGGGCTAGCTGACCCCATTCTCAACGGAAATGCGATTAATCAAAAGCTGAACGTCAATAATTGGTTGAATGCTATTCCCGAAGGTTTAAGTTCAGTACCGACACAGGATGCCCTTGCATTGAGGCCTGCCACGCCTGGCTCAGCGGTTCTGGTGCCAACAATCTCTTGGGATATGCCCGCCCTTGTCCCGACACAAAGCACGAAATCATCAGACAAAGTTGAATCATCCAAAAAAGACACAAATAAAAGCACCGTCAAGGATGAACCTTTGAGCTTTGACCAAGAGAAGAAGCAGAAGAGTATTCAACAAGTCCTTGAAGCTGTGCCCAGATTTCTCGGAAACGGCCCGTATCTGAGGGGAGAAGTAATCGTTACGGCAGACTTTGGGCGAGTAATCGTTCCCGAGCTCGCAGCAAATGCTATGGCTTTCAACGGCAAGAATACCGAGAGCAATGGATGGAAGAGGAGGGATCTAATGTTGACACTGCATAGGATCAGGCCTGGAACCACAGGCAAGGAGTCTCTGGTTGCCGGCAATGTTTGCTTCACGAAGATTCTGAGCACACACGGCTCAGATTTGGAGACGTTGATCAATATCAAGGACGAGAAAACATCCCAGCGTCTGTGGCAAAAAGCCCCCTCGAAGTGCTGGACGGTGTATTCTTTTCACTGTCAGTTGACTGGCAAAACCCCTGACCAGTTTCTTGTGGAGATCACGGACTGTGCCAACGGCACCTTCTCATACACGATTCGAGGACTGACCGAGCCTGGATGTTCCCAGAAGTTGATTTATGTCAACGCGCTGTTACGCAACTAGGATTTGCGTATCACGCGGACCGTTCATTCGCCTCTGCTGGAAATTCGATATGGGAAGTTTGCCAAAGCGTTGCTGGAGTCACTGAAAATACCGTAAGTCATGAGTTCATCACAAGCTTGATAACTCGCTAACATAGCTTCCAGGGAACCCAAGTCAGACGACAAAGACAACATCAACTTGAGCTTTAATATTGACTCTCAGTTCAAGACAACAATCACATCTGTCCGGGTACTTTCCAAGTGGCGCCATCTGAGCCAGGATAAACGAAGTGCTCTTGATATCACCGAGGTTGAACAGCTAGAGATCAAATACAATCCCGCCCGTCCCGGAATGCCAAATTCCGCAGGAGAAGCGCACTCGTGGGAGCCTCGGACTCATGGGAGAGAAGCCAAGGGGGAAAAACAACGTTGGTACGAAGCATCTGTCTCGTCTCTCAATCTTGAAGAGCTCCTAGCGAAGAACAAGTCACTGAAGACAGGGGAGAGGGCGGAATGGTCTCATCCTGAACTAAAGAAAGATGGTATCTTGGAAAGTCTCTGTTGTCCTGCCCTCCAGATGCTGAAACATATGGATCAAGTTGGGGGAACGGAAAAGAACAAGCAAGAAGGGAAGCCTGGAACGGCTGTGAAGAGGGCCAACGAGCGCCCATGGATTGTGCCAGGCTATGCAGCTGCCGATAAACCTGAAGCTTTCGGGCAAGGAAAGGGGGTGAGGAAAGGCAAAGGAGGTGGAGGATGGTAAGAAGATGCGCCAAAGGTCAAGCTTGGCCTTTGACTGTCGACCCTTGAGCTCGGTTCACATGCTCAAATGCAGATGAGAAAGAGTGTTGACCGTGACTGGCTGCAACGAGCATGGCCATGACATGCTTGGTATTGTGTGCGGAGATGGAGCTTAGTCCGATACTTGGACGGTGGCAACTAGCGGATAGGAGAGCCAGTACTTCTTCTCCGGTTCAGATATGTGGATTGAAATTCGACGTGGAGCTGCGTACGCTTGAAGTTGGACAAGGTGGCAAAGGAAGATAGGGGATACGGTTTCATATCCTCCCCGGACAAGCCAACGCCAACACATGATATGATCAACCCTCCAGGGCAGCCAAGCGCAGAGCCAAAAAACCAGAGACGACTACACCCTCTCCAGACTCGACTTCGAAGAATTCCAGCTCAGCTAATCCAACTCGGATCTCGAAGGACACCGGCAGCGGAAGAGGAGATGGAACTTAGTCCACCAAGAGACCTCGTGTTGGAGCTCAATAAGGGGGTTGTCGCTCATAGATGGCTTTGAGGAACGCACAGGTCATGGAAAGTTATTGAGTGTGAGAATGTGGTAGAATTTGTAGATTGGCATTTGTGTTGTCCTCTAAGCTTCACGGGCCATAATTTGGGTCTCACGTGAAGATCTTAAGTTACAACCTTATGATAATTAATGATGAGTCTGATTCAACAAAGAGTTCAGTCTTCCTACACGGATATATGAAGAGAGAAAGTGCTCTATTATGTTCTGGAGATCTAGAGCTTATTGTCTGGTTGAGGGAGGTGTTGTCGACCCGAAGCGCCCTCCAGTACTATACAAGGCCGATGATGTTGGCCTCAAAACCAATCCCTAAGCAAACGCCATGCCCTGCTACCTTGCTCCATGCCATAAAAAAAAAAAAAAAAAAAAAAAAAAAAAAAAGAGATTGGTCCAAGAAAGGGGGGAGTACAGTCTGATTGAAGTGAGTTCAACCAACCGAGACAGAAAACAATACATGGTACAAGTTAGAGTCCAAACATCGAGACCCTACTTCAAAGTTCAGAGCCAAGCCAAAAAGCCAGACCAGGGTATATAGAACACGAAGAAACAAAGACAACCACCTGTTGCCACTATACGATGAAGGCATCACCTGTCGAGGGCCTGATTATGGCACTGTTTGATTTGGTGTATCGGTTAGAATGATGTTTTCACGTCCACGTTAAGGAACACAAGGGCATGGGGTATTCTTGACTTACCATATGCCAATAAACACCCTTCTTCCTGAGCAGCTCGTTGTGATTGCCCTTCTCCAACACTTTGCCCTCACCGAGGACATAGATGATATCCGCCTTTTGGATGGTGGCAAGACGATGAGCTACGGCAATGGTTGTTCGGCCCTTGGCTACGCGCTCGAAGGCGGCTTGCACGAGCTTTTCGCTTTCTGTTTCCAAGTTTTTGTTAGCAACTCATAGATAGGTAACAGAGACAACGTGGATAAGTAGGCAAAGTAAAAAAAAAACTTACCAGAATCAAGCGAAGAAGTAGCCTCATCCAACAACAACACCCTCGGATTCCTAATCAGCGCCCTCGCAATCGACACCCGCTGCTTCTGCCCGCCACTCAGATTAACTCCCCGACTCCCAATATTCGTATCATACCCCTCCGGCAAACTAATGATGAAATCGTGAATGTTGGCATCCCTGCAACACTGGTGCAGCTGCTCCTCCGTTATTGTTGATGGGTCCACGCCCATCAAGATGTTCTCCCGTATCGTCCCGTGAAAAAGCGACGGCTCCTGCGCTACGAGCGATAACAGCTTGCGGTACTCGAAGAGGTTGACTTCGCTTATGTCCTTTCCGTTGAAGAGGATTTTTCCTTGGTCGACGTCGTAGAATCTTTCTAGCAAGCTGACGATCGAGGTCTTGCCTGACCCGGAGGCACCTACTAGTGCTGCGAATTGGCCCTTTTCGATGGTCAGGTTGAGACCCTTGAACACGGAGATGTTTCGCGTGGGGTACTTGAAGTGGACGTCTTGCAGCTCGATCTTCACTCCTCCCTCGGTGTCGGGCACGTAGTGTTCGGAGGTTGATACCTCGTCAACACGGATCCGGCTCTCGCGCGCCTCGAGGATGTTGTTAGCCGCCGCTGACGCCTGCGCCATGTTCGGCCCGAACGACATGTACTGCCCGGCCGACTCGGCGCCCTGGATCACGGCCATGTAGGTCACCAGGAAGGCGACCTGGCCGTACTCGCCTGACGCGATCAGCCGGCCGCCGTACCAGAAGATGAGCGACTGGCACGTCAGCGCGACGCTGTCGGAGAAAGCAAAGACGAGCGTCGCCAGCCGGGCTTTGCGGTAGGCGGTCACGACGTGGTTTCGGAGTAAGGACTCGTAGCGCGCGCAGATGCTCTCCTCCATGACCAGGGCGGTGACAGTCCTAAAAGCGCCGATGGACTCGGCGCCGAACTTGGAGGACTCGCGAAACACGGCCTCGTTCATGGCGTTGAACTGCAGCTCGTAGCGCACGCGGTAGAAGCCGGCGACCATGTTGAGCGGGACGGTCACGCACAGGGCGACCAGCGCGAGCTTCCAGCCGTAGATGAAGGAGATGATTGGCGCGCCGATGAGCGAGAAGACGCCGATGATGACCATCATCAGGTTCAGGCCCAAAAGCTCCATGAGGGACTTGATGTCGCTTTGGAGGCGGGCGGTCAGTTGGCCGACCGAGTTGCCGTCTGCGTCGAAGAAGGACGTCTTTTGGCCCATCATGGATTCAAAATATTCCTGGCGGTAGGCGGCGGAGATGGATCCCTCGATGTGCTTGGTGATCAGGGAGGTCAGGAAGTAGCAGGTGCCGGTGACGGCGGCTAGGGTGGCCCACATCTTGGACCAGAAGGTTACGCTGTCCATGATGGTGAAGACGTTCTGGAAGACGGCGATGATCTTTGCGAAGAGATAGGCCTGCAAGGGAACGGCGGCTGCGGCACCCATGACGGCGAACAGGGCTAGCACGTAGAGGGGGAATAGTCGTCGTTGCTCGTAGAGGAGTCTGCCGAAGCTGTTGATGAGGCCACGCTGCGTCCAGAGGTTTGCGTCCTGGCTGGTGGCGCCGTCACTGTCGACTTTGGCGGCACTTTTCTCGCGCGCGAGCGTGGCACTGATGTCTTCTTCGTCCAGAGCCTCTTCTTCTTTCTCTCTCTGACCGTCGCCTAGAGAGAGGGTTTGAGCGTGTACGAGGCCGTAGTACGCACCACTGGGGTCTTGGAGCAAGCCCTCGTGAGTTCCCTGTTCGACAACCCGCCCGTTTTTAAGTACGCAGATGACGTCGGCGTTCTTGATGGTGGAGAGACGGTGAGCGATCGTGATCGTAGTCCTTCCTACAGACGCTCTCTCCAGAGCAGCCTGGACGATTCTTTCGCCTCGAACGTCGATGGCGGAAGTGGCTTCATCAAGGATGAGGATCTTGGGCTTCTTGATGATGCTTCGAGCAATGGCAATACGTTGTCTCTGTCCGCCACTGAGCTTGGTGCCTGAGTCTCCCACTTGGGTGTCGTAGCCGTCAGGCAGTCTATCGATGAACTCGTCGGCGAAACTTTCAGCACATGCCTCTTGGACGAGTTTGCGCTGGACCTCTTCCGGTTCGTTCTCCCACTGGGTGCCAATCAAGCCGGAAGCGACGTTCTTGAAGATCGTGTCGTTGAAGAGAAACGGTTCTTGCTGGACTAGACCGATTTGGGATCTCCACCACTTCATGTCTATCTCATCCAGCGAGTGGCCGCAGGTCTTGATGGTGCCTGATAGTTCCACGGGAGGACCCTGGTCTTCCAGGTTGTCGATTGTAGCAGCAGCACCAGCGGCAGAAACCACAGAGTCCTCCTCGTCGCTGTCATGTTCCCCTTCCTTGGTCTTTTTACCATCCTTCTTCTGTTTCTTTTGATCCTTTCCAATAGCTTTTGCATCGGTCCCACAATGGCGGTGTTCTTGTGAGCCTGAATGCGGAGGTTGAGTCCATCCAATACCTTCTTAGACGGTCGGCTTGGATACGCAAAATGGACGTCTTCAAACACGATATCCTCAGTTGCAGATACTTCCGGCTCCTTGAGGCTCCCGACCTTGGGCTGCGGTGCATCGATGACAGAAAAGAACTCGGCCGCAGCCACCATTGCCTTTGAGATCGCGATTAGAGGCGTGGAAACCCGCTCCAGTGAAATCACCATCATCATCACAGAGAACAAAACGATGACGACAGTTCCGATATCATCCACCCTACCAGCCAGTAAACTCTTCATGCCATACCAAAAGCTGAGGGCAAAGGTTCCGTAAAGACCAAAGAAGACCAGGCCGAACTGAGTAGCAAATAAAGGGGCCGTAGCTTGCTCGGCCTGCTTGGCTTTCTTGACCCATTCGGAATATTTTTCAGCAACTCGAGCCTCAGCACCGCACGACGTAACCATACGGATAGAAGCGAAGGCCTCCGTTGCAATTGAGCCAGCCTTTCCCTCAGCTTTTGTAATTCTATGCTGTCCCTTGAGGATAAACGGCAGCATGATAGCAATAACCAGCATGATGAAGAGCAGCACCGAAGACGTGACCAACGCCAAGGACCAGCTGTACGTAAACGCAAACAATGACAGCCGCCGTGATCATAGCCGTGTACTCAAGAAACGTGCCCAGCTTCTCCGAGACACCGATCTGCAGCGTATTAGCGGTCGACGTGATTGTGCTCGCCGCGGCCCCGGACGGCATCGAGTCGAGCACGTGGACGGTCTGCGCGAAGAGCGAGCACAGGTAGTGCAGCCGGATGGCGGCCGACATGCGGATGCCGATCAGCCGGAAGCAGAACTTGTTGACGTAGTTGAGCCCGAAGCGGGCGATGAAGAGGGCAAACATGTACAGAGCCTGCCGGTTGAGCAGCCGGTTGAAGGCGGCCTGGGTCTCGGCGTCGCTGTCACCCGGGCCCGCGTAGCTGTTGAAGCTCCCGATCAGCCGGCCGAAGACCACGTTCATCAGGGGCATGGTGACGCCGGCCCCGATGCTGGCCACGGCGGCGCCGGCCATCAGGAGAAAGTCCCATTTGGTGGCGTAGGTGAAAACACGCAAATAGTCCTTGAGTGTGGCTTCTCTCTCTGGCTGTTGCTGCTTCTGAGCCGCAGCCACCACCTTGGGCGTGTTTGATAAGGAGGCCGTTTCGACGGCATCGTGCGTCAACTGCGTCGTTTTCTCGGGCTCTGATGGGAGGCTTGACCCCATTGTGGTGTTGTCTTGTCCCTGTTCTGGACAAGACAGTATAACCTCTGGTTTGCTTGGGGCGCAAACGTTGGGTATGACAAGCTAGTTGAGTCCAGCCAATCTAATCCATCTATGGCTTGATAGAAGTACCTCCGAAACCTCGCGCGAGAGGAAAATAGAACGGAAAAGACCGAGCGAACGATTAGAGCTATGGCGATCTTCGAGAGTTCGATAATGTAGAGGACGATATTGCAGAACAGCGCGCAGAAAGCAGAACCGAGACAAACAACAAACAAAAGCCACCACAGCCTAGGCTGGGCTACTTGACGACGATGCAGACGAACTATCGAATAACGGTTCCGGGCAGACGGTATCACATAGGGGTTTGTCGAGGAAGTGATTCGTCTGTCGAGGATGTTTGATGGGCAATATTCGAGATGCGGGTTGAAAACGGGCAAGATGTTCTTATGGCGTCTGTCAGACGCAATGCATGGAAGGCTGAGGAAGGTTTCTCTTTCTCATTTCCAACGGTCTAGATCTCTGAATGGCCAAGCTTTCACAATGTAACAGTGAAAGTTGGCGAATAGAATGATCGAGGATCCGGTAAATGTAGGAGTAGTTGGCATAGGATCCGGTCCCGTGAGCCGAAAACAGCAATAGATCTGGAGTCGCATTTGCGAGTTCAATGCTCAACTCGGGATTTCGAAGCATCATCAACAATGCTAGAAAGAAAAGCCCATATAACATGCTTTCTTCCGTTGCGCCTGGCATGATGCTTTATCATTCTTGCTCTTGAAGAGCTGGTGTGTTGAGAGGCATTATCGATGGTTCTGATCGCGGCAAAAGAAACCGGAAAGAAGTCCAATTGGTTCCGTCCCGTCTGCTATTGTCTGACCACCAGCTCCGTGGTAAGTATCGATGTCACTAACGGACACTAACAGGATAGCTCAGTAATCTGGTCAAAATCAGATATGGCTTTGATAGTACGCTGTTGCGTCTCTCACCATACTCCAACCATTGTTCTTTAGTCCAGACCTCTCTTCAAGATTGCGGAGAGACGGAAACCCGGGGTCGCTTCGGACCCCCTGTTCAACCCGGGCCGACAATGAAAAGTGGTGCATTCCAGGCCCGTATGGACTTCAGTGAGAGTATTGGATTTAACGACGCCGTGAACAGATTGGCCGATTGCCGTTGTGTTTGGAAAGGGCAGGACGTTGGTTTTATACCTTTCAGCTATAAATAACTTTATCTTCAAGTGTCAAAAGTCGACCGGCATTAAGGGGCTTCCTGCGTGCATATTTTAGTATGTTTGTTCCTGGCGAATTCCGAACGTACCGCATGCTTGACGAGGACATCTGGCTAAGCTAACTTGCTTTCCTCATCATCTGCCTTTTTCTTGGTCACATATAAACAGACCTAGGTGAGTGAATCCCACTGTGTCTCTTTGGCCAACGCTCATCGTCTTGCCCCCAGTTTCGTTGCACCGCTGCCATTGAATTCATGATGACTGTTGACTGTTGACATAAGAGGCTCAGTTGTGTGACTTGTTACTGGGAATGCCGGCGGCCTTCTCTCGGTTCACCGATGTGACTGAGCACCAGGTCATGATCACGAGGCTGGTGCAACTCACAAACCATCATGAAATCTGATAAAAAATCCAGAACGGAAAAGTAAAAGGGGTAGGGTGAGATAAGGGGCTTCGATTGTTCAACGTCAAGCGTTTTGACGTTCAGCCCGAATCTATCGCTCCAGCTGGGCTTGGCGTTCTGCGCTAGAAGCAAGCTTCTTCAACGTTCCCTGACCGGCAGCCACTCTTGCTTGCCCTAAAAACGTTAATGTCTCAGGCCCAGTGTGCGCGGGAACGTCACAATCGAGCGGTTTGTTTCACCACAGACGCACACTCCGCCGGCTTTGCCATGTCTGGAAGCGTCCGGGCCTTCTGGAGCGGTGCCGTACCTATCGAGATATCTGGGTTGGCGTTGCGCTGCGCTTGGCAGTCATAGCGAGGTGCTCAGCAGACTCATTGAACCGTTGGAATGAAACACCATCGATGTGCGCGTGAGGGGAAATGGTAAATAGCAGGTTGAGCGTATGCGTATGGTTACATGTGTCGGCTGAAGTTGAGTCAAGATATATAGGATGGTTGACTTATATAGCACAGCTCGGCTACAACGAGGTAACCTCGCACCCCGCTCCTGAATCAGGTCTCATCCTTTTGTGCATGCTGAAGACCTCTAGAACTATAGCTGCCGGTAGGTGGCTGGCTGTTGTTCATATATCGCTTCTGGATGAGCGAACCTCTCAATATCAACGAAGCCTCATTGTGTCTGCTTTTGTGCACCCACCACAACAGACCTGCGTGATAGCCAGGTTTTTCAACAGTCCGAGCTTTCTATCCCGTCTTCAAGCGATTCTTGGTCTTCAAGCTCACCGGGTAGCATTGAAGCGGAGAGGGACTGGGACCGTGGGTTCTCTTCCGGAGTTCCAGATAACGACGACCGGAGTAACATCGCAGTATGCGGGCCGAGTGGGACTCGCACACCGCGCAATGGATCCATGATCGCTGAGCCCTGACCTTTTTGGGACTATGGATTCTTTCGGCACTAGAGGCAGGTTTTAGGTGAGCAATGAAGGTCAAAAGCTGAAGAGGGCAAAAGAAATGTCAAGAAATATCACACCCGTGGCGCTGGGGTGTTGGATATGTATGTATCAGCGGCACCACCGATACACGGCGTCCAGAGGCCATGGCAGGCTGTCCACTGGCGCCTCTCGGGTGACAAGGCTGTTGAAGATTGTCTGGTGTAACCGTGATGGCCTCCCGAGACTCGACACAGCCCTCAGCCGTAGAACACGGACATCTGGTCAGGACAAGAAATCCAGATGTCTTGGTCAGTCCCGGCGGAATGCGGTGTACTGTCAGCAGTGTAGCTGAAGGGACCAAAAAGCTTTGCTCTGGACAAGCTAGCAAGGTACGGGAACCTGACTCTTGTTCTCGTGACTTCTGACCTGTCCCACGATGCTCGATGCTTCTGTGTACGTACTGTACTCGAGCCGGGGGCAGCGTCGATAGTGGCCGAAAGAGGATTAACAGCACACAAGAGGACGAATCGTTTGCGTCGGGTCCCTGAACCCGGCTGCCGGCTGCAAACTCAGCTTCCCAAGCAGTGCTAGCCAGAAAAGCAAGGAAGCAATCGCGAATCTCGACGCTATTCCGCGTTGGTGACTAGCCGGGGACCTGAAGCTGCACAGCAGGTGCAAGATGTGCGGGATGCTCAGGGGTAAAAAGTGCCCAACCCTCGTCCAACCTCCACCGCGATAGCCATCATGCGTGCCTCTCGGAGTGCCGCTCAGTGGCCTCGAGTCATGAAAGCCTCGGACCTGCAGCGTGCATGTGCCCTGCTGCTGTGCCTATGCTTGGGTGCTTTGCGTGTGCAGTCGAGATATGCAGTGATCGGTTAACAGGCACGGATCCGACCTGTTCCTCTCTTTCCTTGCGTCTCCGTCCGTCCTCGTGTTTCCCAGCTTCCAGTACCAAATCATCCAATCTCGTACGCCGTTGTCGAGACTGTGTGGTGTCTCTGGTTCTACCGCTGGAGAGCCCAGATGCGTGTCTCTCATCGGATTCTGGGGTCCCCAAAATGACCCAAAATGACCGCCCGCGCCGCTGGGAGTCCTGGGAGTTCAGGCGAAGTAGTATGCGAAGCACCTGGAACTTCGCCTGAATATTTTCGCTGCTATTTTGGACCGTTCCGTGATTGTTCGGTGCAGTACGCCAGTACGGGGACTCCATCGGCGCCCTACTCCATCGCCAGGAACCTCGACGCCCGACGGGCACCCAAGGTTCCACATGTTGGAGCGAGGGAATCCACATTCAGGTCGTGCTCCCCATGTGGAATTGTGGATGCCCCTTCCAGTGGGTGCTGCCGGGTGTCAGTGAAGTGGCAGCAAAGTGGCAGGAACACAAACACGCCGAAAACCACGCCCATTGTTTGGCGAGCTGCAGCAGCTGCAGCCCGACAAGCCAGCAAAGTGGGCAACAGTGAAAAAAAGCAACCGGAAATGCCAGTGGGACGGTACGCCCTAGTCTCGTCTAGTGTCGCGTAAGAATGCCGCCAGCGCGATAAAGGGATAGCGACTCACTGCGTCTCCACCTGCTTTCCAAAACGGGACCCCTGGCAACCATTGGCAAATCATTGGAAAATCTCTCGTCACCGGCCCGGGTACGTCCCACCACCAGTGCAACCGTCCCATGCTTCCATAACCTTTCCCAATTCCAATATACCGTCCCTGGGGTCCCATCCATTCCGAATTTCATCCCACCTCGGTCACCTTCCTCCTTGCTCTTCAGTCCCAAAAATCAGACGTCTCGTCCTGGCATCACCCTCTTGTCTCCTCCTTCCGACAGATCGTGTGCCGTCCATTCGTTTTCAACCCACACAGCAACACCAGAGCAACCGATTGCCCAATCAACGGACGCCTACCCGTCGATATTAGAGCTGTCACCAACTTACAAACAACAAGACTACACTCATTGGTCGTCGTCGAAAACGGAAAACATTGCCTCGCACTTTTTCTCGACTTACATAGCAGTTGCTCGGCATTCTTGGTGAACGACACGTCGAATTCGAACTCTCCATCGGTCTCGACAGCATATCAACGTGCAGTGATAAGGGCCAAACACCCCAACAAGCACCGACCATCTCTCCAACAACCGTCCCCAGTTACCGAACGGGACTCAACAGGCCTCTCCCGGGTTACCACAGGAATTCCCCGTGTTATCCCACAGATAAGACTCCGGGTCTTCCATTGTCTCCCCGTACTATCTCAGGCATATTCCTTGCCCCCGCAGTCGACCTCTTGTCTTTATCAACACTTTCGCCGCCATCGGATATCGGATTCTTAGCTCTCCAAGTTTTTTCTGCGTTGGAGGACGACTATCGACGACACTCGACTGTCATCTGGAAGAAATAGTGGTTTAGGTGTTTGAAAAGCCGGTTCGCAACGCAGAAATGGCTGGATTGATTCCTCTTATGCTTGGGTCAAGCAAGCGGGCAAGTCTTGCGCCCACACAACAGCAACAACCACAGCCCCAACAACAACAACAACAACAACATCGCCGACATACTTCGGAACGAAATTTCAGGACTCACAGAGATTCCACATTTGCTCTCGCAAAGCAAAACGCACCCAAGCGACAGTCACTCCCTGTACCCGCCCGTGCCTCTGCCTCTTCTTCTACACCCGCTCCTGCGTCTCCAGCTCTTCCAGCCACTCCTGCACTACCACAAAACCGCAGCGAATGGAAGCGAGCAATCGTCGAGATCAAGAAACTACACATCGGCAAGAGGTACAGGGCATGCTCAGCGCGGTGTATCGAAATCCTAGACAACATCAAGAACAAGGAAGACGTCCGCATCGAACCGCTTTACTTGATTTACCTCCACTTCTATGCGGCTACCTGTATGGAAATCTGCGCCCGACCTCTACCTACGGCCTCCATGTTCCGCACTACCCTCCTTCAGCAGGCTCGCACACACTTCGAACAGGCTGCCTCACTCATCAGTGCTGCTGAGAACTCTGTTCTCAAGCAAGCATGGCGCGGTTCTGGCACCTTCTCGTCTTCTGGATCTAGCTGCCACTCTCCTACCAGCTCTATCAGCTCATCCATCGATTCACGGGCATGGACCCCAGAAACCCGCATGTCATCACCGACGAGTTCCGTTTTCTCCCAAGAGGATCTGGCAAACAACACAACAGAGTCGGCCAACCCCACAAAGCGTGTCAAGAAGGTATCATTCTCAGTTCCCCATGAGGAATTCGACTTTGGCTTCTCCGAGCCAATGGTTCGCCCTGATTCGCCGACTTTGGGTATGGACTTTGGCTTTTTTCCGGCTACAAATACGCGTCAAGAAGTTCCCGAAGTACCAGCGTCAAAGTACCAGGAGGTCGAGCTTCCCCTCAATATCGATACGGACAGCCAACAGTTCGAGAACTGCGAGGAAGATGACGACACTCTCAACATCACAAAATCCATCGATCGTTTCCGCGATCAGCTGCACGAGCTCCGCGAACAGCTTGAGAGACACTCGGCCAATCTAGACCAGCAGCTCGAAACCATGGCGACCGAGCCTCCCAAGTCGCCCAGGCGAGGAAGTGCAGGTGGTGTAGGGAAGGAGGAGCTCCGCGCTCTCGACAGGCAGGCTCGCATTGAGCGGCTGCGCAAGGATGGCTGGCAGCGGAAGCGATTCGATACCCAACGGTACGAGGAGCTCTGCGAAACCGTCTTGGCGGAGCTAAGCCCCGCCTAAATCTCCAAGATGAAATCTAATGATCGCCGTCCGGCATATCATTCAAATTCCATTTTGTCGTCACACATCATTAGAAGGGCCAGGGCAAAAAAAAAGGTCGTGCATGACAGTTAAATGAACATTGTTTTTTTTCCATCTATCCAACATCATCATCACCGGGGACCATTACGGGGACCACAAAAACCCCCCACTGCGATCATCCCAATCACTTGTACACAAGTCATCTTGTTCTATATTATACCAAATCTGTGCAATTTGATTGCTGCAAAGAAAGTTAGACCGGGGTCACATTTCATCATCATCTTTGTCATCATATCTGGGGGATCGGCGGAGTCAATTTTGGGTTTTCTGCAACACATGGCGAAGGAGTTCAGTCATCGTTTGGGTTTCATCTTCTCTGTATCTATCATTGTTTATCCATCTTTTTTTCTAATCATTGGGCGGGCAATTCGACTTGGCTTGGTTGGGAAAGGATAAACGGGCGAGGTGGTTGGTGTGGGAGGAGATGCACTTTCTTGAAGTGTTTGCAGTTTTTGGCTTGACAGATATATACAATATCCCTTTGTGCTTTTGTACACTGAGATCAAATAAACAAGGACACTCACTCTTTGAAGTGGTCATTTTGCTTAACGTCTTTTTTTGCTGTGTCATGTCTGTCACACACAATGTGTCATACATAGGCTTCAAATATAAAGGTTCAAATATTTAGGTGCAGGTATAAAGGAAGATATCACTGAAGTGTGTGTGGGCTACATCGCGATGAACTGCAATGTCAACTCCAAAGTGAATGAAAAGCAAACATCAAAATATACGAAGAAATGCGTTTCTTGGTGATTGTCTTTGATGCGCTAATGGGTTAGAGGTACCTAGGTATGCAAGGCGCGTCTGAAAATGAACTGAACTGAAGTAAAGGACAAGAGAAAAGAAAAGTGAAGAGGCAGCGAGGAGCTAACATCAGACCAATTCCACTCCACAACTAACAGTCCCTTACATCAGTCGCGCGCGTCACGAATGGAGTCACTGAAGGAAAAGGAATTCTGATAACGCAACTGAAGTAAGGTATTTTATTTCAACATTGAATTCCGTGAATCTCGTTTAGCTATGCAATGGGCGTATTACATACCTTCCATTCTCACCTCTTCACGTTTAACAAGCTGGAAGTCTTCGTTTGTTGCCTACATATAGTAAGTCTGAAATTCACCCTCCTATCCATATGCAGTCGAAGTTCGCAAGGTTGCATTTCTACGATGAAGGTTCCGTGATACCAAAGGAACCAAAGGGAAGATTAAGGTGAGATCACATCCAGCTTCGATTATCCAATGTACCTTCAGCTTCAGTGTGAAACCTTGGACGTTATCGAGAGATGTTCGTGTGTGCTTGGTGTCGTTTGGCTTTCAACCGACCGCACTTTATAGCAGCATCCCTTAACTTACTGACACGACGGGGAAAGACAGAAAGGTCGCCGAAGACTTTCAATCATTTATCCTGACCTCCTCAGCAGAAGTTGACTGACACAACCACACTCATAGTACTACGCACCTCGACGAAGGAGTCAAGCGACGATGTGAAGTGGGGCATTAACGAGAAAGACTTGCTCATAGTATATTCAACGCTGGCGAACCGCTCCAAGAGTTCCCTCTTCATAGGTAAGTTGTACGCAAAGAACGCATAGACGTGACTTCCGCTTCCTCCCAGATATACTGCGAAATGAAAGCGCTTAAACCCAATACCAAATATAGAGCCCAATATTGTACCAGAGCTGGCAACCAGAACCCCAGCCAAAACGCGCAATATGCCCCGTACACTCACGTCATATCCGCATGCATCCAGAGATGTTCATGCTTTGGTATCAAACAACATCAACGGCAACAGCAACAAGAACCCGCCCTCTTATGCCTATAACCCTCCTTTGTTAACCACGCTCGACTAGGCTTGGAAGCTCTTCGCCTTCGTCTCTACCTCTTCCTTGAGCTTGTTGGCCTCTTCCTGCTCCTTCATCTCGCGAACCTTGGCCAAAACGACCTCGCGGAAGATGGCCGTCTTGATAGTCTTGGAGAGCGTCCGCTTTTCGGCGGGTGCGGTGGCGTTCTCGGCGTCGGCGGCTCCGCCCGTGGTGCTCGCCACGGATAGAGCGCGATGGCGGGACTGGGCCTGATCGGCGGCAAGCGTCGCATCGCCGGGCATATCTGTGTTCTCCGGGTCGTCCTCCTGCATCTTGAGCGCCTCGATGCGGTTCGCAAGCTTGACCATCTCGATGCCGCGTCTGAGGCGGGCCTTGGTGAGGTACGCCTTGATCTCGGGCAACAAGTTGTGGTTGGTTGCGGAATCGCCGCGGAGCCAGGGGTGAGCCAAAGCTTGCTATTGATCGGGCAGGCGTGTCAGTAGTCGTATTCAAGGACGTCAGACCAGCAAGTCTTACCTGACTTGTCCACCGGTTCTCCGGCTTGGGCTGCAAAAGCCTCAGAATAAAATCCTTGGCGTCATTGCTGACGTCCTTCCAGTAGCGCTCATGGAAGACAACGTTGCCGCTGATGCACTCGTCGATGAGGTCCTGAAGGTTCTCGGAGCGGAACGGCGAGTAGCCGCAGAGGAGGGTATAAGTAATAACACCCATTGACCACATGTCGACGGGCTTGCCGTGACCCTGCTTGAGCATAACTTCGGGCGCCGCATAACCGAACGAACCAGCCATAGTGGTGAGAACCTCGTCCTTATTGTCCAGCATCTTGGCAATACCAAAGTCGGCCAGGACTAGATCTGAATCCGCATCTCGAGTAAGATATAGGAGGTTCTCAGGCTTGAGATCTGCAAAGTGGTAAGGTTAGACCACGCCGTTGGGAAGGGCAAGGAATTATGTGGACTAACCCCGATGGACGACGTTGTTCTCGTGGAGGTAGTTGACGGCACCCAAGACTTGCTTGATGGTCTGCGAAGCATCCTTTTCCGTAAATTTTCCTTGCTCGCAGATCCTGTCGAAGAGCTCGCCTCCCGTCGCAAGCTGAGTGACGATGTAGTACTTGTCCTAGCGGAGGAAGCAATATTAGTCTCGCCGTAGCCCCTCTAAGCCCGTCGCAAATGATACGCACCCTAGACTCGAACCAGTCGACAAACTTGACAATGTGGGGGTGCTTGAGGCGCTGGAGCATCTCTAGCTCGTCGAGAACCATCTGTTCGTTGCCCTTGACATTCTTCTTCAATATGATCTTGATAGCAACTCTGCCAGTAGGGCCGTTGGCTTCTCTGACAATACCATAGGTACCGGCACCTAGCGTTCGGCCAAAGGAGTACTTGGACCTAATATAGGGTGTTAGTGCCATAGGCGAGGCAAGCGAACGGACGAGAACGGGGATCGGAGGCGTACTTCTTGTCGTAGCTTTCGGGTTGCCCGTGAAGGCGGTTGAGCATGTTGGCGACTGTGCGTGAGGAATCCATCGTCAGCTAAAGTTCGCTCTACAACCAAATGGCATATAATCGAAAAGGAAGAGGTATAGGGGTGTACGACAGGGGCCCAGTTCTTCTTCGTCTATCCGAGGGGGAGAAGACTTGAGAGGAGACCTGAAAGGAACAGACCAAGACTGACGAGACCGCGCGGGAGTAGAGGGAACTTACAGCTCATGGTGTTGATGTCTGGAGAAACGAATCAAGAAGGCGCGGTAGACGGATTGGGGGAGGGGGAAGAGCTGCTTGGTTCTCTTCCTTCCGCTCTCAAGTGTGCAAGTGGCAGGAGGCTATCGAGACTGATAACCGAACCGGTCGAGCTTTGAACTTGGACGAAACTTGTAGGCGATTGACTAGGACGAGGGGCTGAGGAGCTGAGATTCGGAAATGGGCTGCGAAGGAGTGGCAGAGCAAGACGAGGGGATGCTTGGCAGCAGTAGATTGGGCTGGACAAGAAAGGCGGCTGTCAGAGTTCCAGTTCTCGCTCCAGAGGTTCACATGTCGGGTAAGACGATAGGGGACCTGGGGGTATCCGCTCAGCGTAATACGGGCTGAGGGCAGGTCCCACTAACGCCACGATGGGTGGGAGTACTTGCCTGCAACCTGGAAACGAACTGTTGGAGTGTAAGCCCTGTGCGAGTGCGACTGACCAGATGGAGTTATTGGAATGTCCCTCGCTTCAGAAATAAGGATGAAGGGGAAAATATGTAATTCAAGAAACTTGTGAGGGCCGGGGAGAGGTAATGAGAGAAGAGAGATCAACCCAAACCCCGTGGCATGAAGGATGCCTCCGCTTGCTCTTCCATTTCCACTGTCCCGTCACTGCCACTGGCCTCTCGTCATTGTCCCCCATTCCTCTCTCCAGCAGACGGGCGGGTCACCTTGACGGGCGCCTAGGGCTGTTTTGGGCCCGACTCTTGGGCGATCTTCGCAAGATACAGCCAGTTGTTGCCCGGGAGCTACCGCTACAACAACATTCAAACTGAAGGCATCCAATGCGACAAGGCGCGAACAAGGTGGGCAGGTGGGCTATGAAGGAGGCCGTGGAGTGCTCAGCCCACGAACCGCATGTCCCCCAGGGTGCGCAAAGAGGGGCACCATTTGGTCTTGGCAGACCTGTGATTGGGGAGGGGTAAGGGCAGTGGGATCTTTACCCGACTAGGGTCATGTCTTTGGGCCCCTGTTTAGGCCGTGCTAGAGATGCAGCCCTGAATGAGCACTGCATCGAAACCAAACAGACATCGCGAACTCTGAGCATCTCATGTCATCCAACCACCATCACCGGTTAGGCGCACTTCGAAACGAGATCCTGTGAATCGGGATGTTCACCGAGGAAGGTATCATGAATGAATCCATCTGAACCGTGCATAGACCATGATAAAGCTCGTTTGAGATGACTGGAGACTGAAGAGATCAATGATCATCAGTATCAAAGGCCATCGCTGTCCCTCACAGCCCGCCTTTGGCGATGGCGAATTCCAATCAATGACAGATTAACAATCCACTTTTCTCTCCCCAAGCGTCCATCATCGATTCTAGAACTCCCTCCACGTTTTCAACGTCTTCCGCTGTTTAGCTTCCTCATCAACATTAGCTTTTAGGATGAAGTCTCCAGTGTCTGTTCGCTGCACTGCCTCGGGAGGAAGAAAATAGTGTATAGGTCTTTGAGTGAGTGGTCACCACCGCGAACTAGCTACGGTGAACCTCGATATCACTCTATAGCTATGTCGTGGCTTGGCTTCATTTGTTTGATACTGGTACTTTGATCCGTACAACCTCATCCTCAGGCTGCTTAGTCTGATGCTTCAAAGAAAAGCGGATATGGAACCAAACGGGGCAAGACATCCTGTATTTCCCCTTCGGCTCCTCCCATGTGCCAACTGGCCGATATCAAATTCTCGATGGCCTCCGATAGGTATCTTTCATGTGTGACATGGGATATGGCCCGAGCGCTCTGGCGATCTTTTCTATCAGATTACAAGTTGCCGGAATACAACCTAAGAGTATAGGGCGAAGTGAAAGTGTTGGAAAGGTCACCGAGAAGAAAAAAGGCTGTCCAATATCCATCGCGTTTGATCCAGACGGAAGCCACAGCCTGCAGTTGTACCGACCAATCGACGGGCAGTCCCCCGCGCGTGGCATCAGTGGAATCCTCCGCGCGAAATGCGGTTTCCTCCTTCCTCCTAGGTCGCTCCTGGTCTCACCACCCGTAGACGTTGATTCCATCTTGAACTGGTAGTCGCGGAGACCCCTCTCAGCCTCAGCCCTGCCAACAATCCCTTGCAACTCAGAGCAAGCGTTGCGTGATTCACCCAACTCAGTTAATCTGGCATTAGCAAAACTTCAGCTTGAACTTGAACGGACAGGGACCGCAAGCTCAAGCTATTATCCAGCATTCCTTTCAGACCTACTCTTTGTTCGGTACTTCTGCTGCCTCTCCAGGATTGGTCCAACATAACCCCGCCGACCTCCAGCTACATTACCTACCTACGACTATCAGTCCGCTTTCCACTGTCGCCTTGCGAGGCTCGCCTATTCGCCATCGGAGACTATCACGTTGCTGCAACACCATCCCGTGGTCATTCAGCAAATATGCCGGTACAGTTTGCTGCGAAGAGGCTGGGGAAGGAACTGAACAAGGTTAGTTGGATTTCCGGACAGACCTCACATCCCATAGGCTGGACTGAATTCGGAGATTGATTGCAACAACTGACGCGATCACATTCTGTCCATCAGATACAGAATGGCCTCCCACCTGGTATTGAGCTCGTCTCCGCAGACAACTTGGAAGAGTGGCTTCTAGACATACGAGTTCTCGACAACAATCCGCTTTACCTCAACGAGACATATCGACTAAAGTTCCGATTCAGCCAGTCATACCCCATCGGTACGCATGATTGATACACGGATGGCTGCGGTCGATATAAAAGCTAATCAAGTCTTAGAGCCTCCCGAAGTGGTATTTGTCAAGCAAGCCGACCGGCCGATTCCGATCCACCCGCACATCTATTCCAACGGAATCATCTGTCTCGACCTACTTGGCCAACAGGGTTGGAGCCCCGTGCAAAGCGTGGAAAGCGTATGCATGAGCCTACAAAGCATGTTGACCGGGAACACCAAGAATGAACGACCTCCCGGCGATGAGGAATTTGTTCGCGGCAACAAGCAACGCCCCAAGGATATCGAGTTCTACTATCACGACAACACCGTCTAGAGGAAGGGTGGGGGTCGGCCGCAGGAAATTGTGCGGAAACTGCCTTGGGATTTGTCAAGGCGTTACTTTTTCGGTACAAAGCGCCTCCAGCGTTTGATCTGGAAGGTCTAGCCACCTACACTGGATGGGGTGTAGGTCGTATCGTCTGCATTATGAGGAGTTCCCATACTTGCAAGTTTGGTTGGGGTTTAATACTGGCGCATAAAGGGTTACTTAGGGAAGGAGACTTGGAGCTTACAAATGAGCATTCGGAATTGCTCGACTCGGCACCGGTACAGCGAGCTTGTTTGATATGCATTTTTAACAAGATTGGTGATTAGTTTATACCCAGCACCGGGAAGTCTCACCACATAATCAACATATCTACTAGGCAGCGAAAGACATTGATCGTTTCTCTCTTGGTGAACCTATGGTTGTTGTTCTTCTTGACTTGGGAGATCAGACATGGGAACAGTCAGATGACGTAAGATTGATTATCATCCCGATAGGAAGAAGATAAACCTTATCAGTTGCCCGCACAGCCCATATATCCGAGCCTTTCTTGAACATGCTCAGCCTTGGATATTCGGGGACACTCATGCTGGCGGTGGAGCTCACAATGCTGGGTAATCGAGGAGATGATTCCACGTATCACCTCAGCATTGCTGATGATGTACATCTTCATTCTGGCTCTTTAAATTATAGAGGTACAAGTATGGGAGCGGGAGAGGGTCACAGGTGAGGACGAACGACATTCCAGCCTAACAGATCGACCCACTTCAGCCCACTGAGATACCCTGGAGCTTTGTTGGGGTTCGCGCAGTGAACCAACCAATGTTCAGTTCCACTTGGTAGCACAACATGAACCCAGCCAGCAGGGCGGACCAGGAGCTCGAGGTTCACCCTCCTTCGTCATCAGCCGCCCGCCATCCTAGGATCCACACCACAACACCAACAGCCGCATGAGGAGAACTCGACCACCATGGCTCCCCATGCGGAGTTTGACATCGAGCAGATCAGAGAAAAGGGTCGCAAGGACATCTTGTATCTCCTAGAATCAGTATGTACAGCCATGATGCCCCCAAAAACCACCCAAGCTAGGCAGCACCGGCCAGAAGCAACGATGTCCGTGAACTGACGGCAGCTTGTGAGATCCTGTGCAGGTCCGTGGAAAGAAGAACATTGTGATTGAGAAGAGCCTGGCTGGTCCACTTAACGCCTTTGTCGGAGCGTCAACTTTGCGCGACTATGGTGCCGATAATTTCTTCTTTCTCGAGAACAACAACACCGACTCGAGCCAGCGCAATGTCGTCTTCATTGCCCGGGGCGAGTCGGCCCATCATGCTCACACAATAGCAGGTACGAATACCAACCACGACCTCGCGGACGAGGGAACCGCCCGCGAATCCTTGAAGTGCTAACAGGTGTCCAGATCAAATAAAACGTCTACAGCACGAGAGCCAGTCTCCCCACGAGTTCCATGTCTTTTGGGTACCCCGCCGAACGCTGGTTTCAGACAAAGTGTTGGAGGAGGCCGGCGTCTTGGGTGATACCAACGTTGCCGAGCTACCTCTATACTTCTTCCCGCTTGACACCGATGTCTTGTCCCTCGAGCTAGACGACTCGTTCAGAGACCTGTACCTCGCGAAGGACCCCACACCAGTCTTTCTGCTTTCGAAGGCCTTGATGGGCATTCAACAGAAGCACGGCCTCTTTCCCAGGATCGTTGGCAAGGGCGAAAATGCCAAGAGAGTTGCTGAACTATTGTCTCGTATGCGACAGGAACTTCTCGCTGGCGAAGAAGCAGCCGAAGGGGACAAGATCGGCCTGTCACCCAGCACCACGAACGAAAGTGTTATCATCATTGACCGTGAAGTTGACTTTGTCACGCCCCTTCTGACACAGCTGACCTACGAGGGTTTGATCGACGAGGTATTCGGTGTACAGAATAACCAGGCCGACGTGGACTCAACGATCATTGGCGCACAGCCGGAACCACAAGGCTCAACCACCGCCGCCGCTGCCGTCGTGAACAGCGGGCCTTCGCGCAAGCGCAAAGTCCAACTTGATTCGTCCGACAAGCTGTTTGAGCAACTGCGCGACGCCAATTTTGCCATTGTCGGAAGTCTGCTGAACAAGATTGCTCGTCGTTTGAAGAGTGACTATGAGAGTAGACATAGCTCCAAGACGACAGCCGAACTCAAAGAGTTTGTCTCGAAGCTTCCGGGATACCAGGCCGAACAAAAGAGCCTCAAAATTCATACGGGCTTGGCGGAGGAGATTATGAAGTATACTCGCACGGAACACTTCAGCAAAATGCTCGAGGTTCAGCAGAATCTCGCGGCTGGAGCAGATCCATCTTCCCAGTTTGAGGCGATCGAAGAACTAATAGCACGCGACGTCCCATTGTCACAAGTATTGCGACTACTCTGCGTGTACTCGTGTATCTCGGGCGGAATCAAGACGAAGGAGTTCGACCACTTTCGGCGCCTTATACTGCAAGGATATGGCTATCAACACATACTCACGCTTCATAATCTAGAGAAGCTTCAGATGTTCCTTTCGAGGTCATCCCCTCTGGCATCCATGATCCCCATGACCGGGTCCGTTGGGGCGACGGGAACGAAGACTAACTATACATACTTACGGAAGCAACTGCGGCTCATTGTCGACGAGGTCAACGAACAGGATCCCAACGATATTGCATACGTCTACAGCGGCTACGCGCCTCTCTCGATACGCCTCGTCCAGTGCATCCTTCAGAAGCAATATTTGCTCTCCATCACAAAAGGAGCAGCCGCCACTAACACAGCCGGACCAGCTGCAGGAGGCGCACAAGGATGGCGTGGGTTCGACGACGCTGTCAAGCATGCCCGAGGTCCGACATTTGACGAGGTGCAAAAGGGCGAGGATAAGGCTGTTAAGGCTCGAGCGCTATTATCCGGTAACGACGGCCAAAAGACGGTGTTTGTCGTGTTTGTTGGCGGTATCAGCTTCAGTGAGATCGCGGCTCTTCGGTTCATTGCGAAGAAAGAAGAAGGTATGTTGCTATCCTGTGTCCCCACTGGCCTGCTCGAGCTGGCCGCAGAAGCATCGACCACTAACTGGGTGTCATAAATCAATAGGTCGGAGAAAGATTGTCATCTGCACGACGTCCATTATTAGCGGAAACAAGATGATGGAGGCCGCGATCGAGAATGGGACGTTTGGGACCGAGAGCGTGCAACAGGAGACGGAGAGTTGATATTGCTTGATTGATAGACGGAGGGTTGTTCGATGCTTGATTCCGACCGGGGGAACATCCACAACAGACGCAGAATACAGAAGCATACCATGGCCACAGTTGGGAAATCCAGGTTGTGCTCACGATACGTAGAAGGAGTGAAGGGAGTCATGTCGATATTTGCTGCGAACCTAAAGGCAGACTGGCGTGGAAGAGAACCTGAATCTTCTCCCATTCACAGGGATTATTCTCCTCTCTCTGCGCCTCACGTGATTGGACCACGGACCTCAATTACTCGTAATAACGCGCAATGCCTGAAAAGAAAGCATTTGCATCAATCAACTAAAACGAGCAGCGTTAATTTCTTGTAATTGAAATTCTGAGCAATGCGCTGAACGTTACCGGCTTTCCGCACTTTTTAGGGCGCTGTTACCAGTGGGAGTGGGTTCCATCTCGCGCAGCAGATCCGTCAGTGCAACTGTATCAGCAGACTGGAGACAACGGCAGCCACACAACCACCTCGAAGACTGAAGCAACAACAACAGCAAAGTCTAGAGATATTATATTTTCTTTGGTCAAGCTACCACGACTGGCAAACTGAGAGATATCGATGCACCACCGGCCAAAGACGTCGTAGTCAACACCGCCAGATATTCCATTCACCCCAGCCATCGACGGCATTTCAAACCGAGACGGCGACGTACCAATCGTACGACGTCTATGAGACGAAACTTCAACATTGCTCCATGGGCTGCGATATGATATTTCGAGGTACATACACCCTCTTCGACGTTCACTTCCTTCACCCATGTAAACACAACACCGTACATGGTCCAACCATATCCACTTTCCTCCATACTACTACACATAGCTCACTGTGCTGGGTCCTCAGACCTTTCTTTGATGTTCAACTTGGGCTGACCAAAAGACTCAGAAGCCGGAGCATTTCTTGTATCATAGCGATAGGCAGTTCAGTCGAATGGCCGGAATTTACACCATCATCATCACCCGAACCGGCTCCATCTTATCCTTCGCCCTCCGCTGAATCCGGTGTGTCCTGTATATATGGAAGGAGGTCCACTTCAACGTGAGCGAAGACGACGGTGCCGACCTATCAACCCCATATTACGGTCCAGCGGTTTTTTCTAGTCATCCAAGCGTCGCTCTTTTAGAGATATGGGCAACAGTTCGCGGACTCGTCCAGGGCAGACTAGTAGTAGCAGTATCGCGAAGGGTCCGACAAAAGACGTCAAGGAAGTCAACTTATCCCGCTCAAACCGATCCAAGCCCTCGAACTCCGGCAGGCACCCGCCTATGAAGAGAGCAGGGACGCCTGTGGGCGGCCACTCCGCAGATACTAGCTCGTCAACGAGTTCAGAAGATATCGCACCGGAAATTGTGGTCTGGACTGGGGACATGGATACGATGGACTCGGAGGAGTCGTCCTCTCCAGAAAGCCCACTGCCGGCAGACGAGTATGTTGCTATGTTTGTTTTTCCTCATCGAGACCATTACACCTTATGTTTAACTCCCGCTTGCCATGAAGTTCTGGCTGTCCCTCATCGCTGACTTCCATGTAGCTCTCCACAGTTACCATCACTATCGCAAGCCACGGAAGAGCCAAGTGCCCAAAATGAAGACGCCTCGAGCCAGTTTTCATCGCTCTTATCGGAGCCTCCAGAGTCGTCACCACTTATATCACCTCAAGATGATAACGCGGTGGAGCAGGAAAACCCGATCACCCAGTCCGCCAGTAGCCTATCGGACCAGCACTCGAACTCGTCATCCCATGCGCCATCCGTAACAAGCAAGGCTACGACCCCTGTGGATGTGGATGGACCGAAGGAGCTTTCAACAAGACAAGAGTCATCTGAGCCACTGCCTCCTTTACTGGTATCTCCCTCTCCGAAGACGCCTCTAGAAGAGCATCAACCGACACCAGCTGTGGAGGAATCTCCTCAATCGGATGGACAACCACAAGCCGAGCTACAAATACAGCCATCAGCTCAACCAGAACAGGAAGTCCACCTCTCGCCTCTGCCAACGATGGACGAGCCCCCTACAGCAGCAGTTGAAACCGCATCTCCACCTGATGAACCCAAGCCACTGATGGAGGAGCGGAAGATCAAGGAAGAGTCGCCGGAGGAGGTAGTGCTGGGATCAGCAAGGCAAGCTTCGGTGCCTCAAGAAACTGAAACCCTGGACGTATCAATGGAAGAAGCTCCAGCTACGGATGCGGTAGCGCAAGAAGCCCCAGCGCAAGATGTCCCGATGTTGGAAGCGCCTCCTCAAGAGACACCGGACCAGGAAGCACCGCCACAGGATATAGTCATGGAAGAACCTCCGGCTTACGAATCTCTGACTCATGAACCTCCGGCAGAAGAGCCTCCGGCTCAAAGCGTATCGACGCTAGATGCCCCATCTCAGAAAATCCCAGCACAAGAAACTTCAGTCCCGGCGACGCCAGTACACGAAGCGCCCGCCCAGCCAACACCAGTGCAAGGATCCTTGCCTCGAAACGCAGGTACAAATACGGCGTCCACAGACACCCCGAGGCGGCGATACAACGTCCGCCCCAAAGTCACCATACCTCCCAATCTTCCACTACCGGATTATGCTATGCAATGTATCTCTGCAGCGGAGGCTTCGAGACTCAACCCATATGCTTTGCACCAGGAGGAATATCTCATGCTCCGAGACCATATCAGCCACGCCCAAGTAACAACGTATCTGAATATCAGGAATGGTATTCTAAGGCTGTGGGTAAGGAATCCTCAAATAGCTGTTACTCGGGAAGAAGCTGTTGGATGCGCCAAAGACACCCGTTGGTTTGACGCTGCCAGCCTATGTTTCGACTGGCTTGTTCGTCGGGGATACATCAACTTTGGGTGCGTAGGTTACCGGCATTCAAAGAAGCATGCTTCCAAAGACTCGTCAACTGCCACCCTCAAGCAAAGAACAGTCGCTGTTCTGGGAGCAGGTATGGCTGGACTGGGCTGCGCGAGGCAGCTCGAGGGACTCTTTGCACAGTATGCAAAGAAGTTCAGAGACATGGGTGAAGAGCTTCCGCGAGTAATTGTAATCGAAGGTCGGAACCGAATAGGTGGCAGGGTTTACTCTCGCCCCTTTGCATCTAAGCCTGCGCGAATCCCGGAAAATTTCCAGGGGAAGCGATTCACTGCAGAAATGGGAGGTATGATCATCACGGGATTTGAACGTGGTAACCCCATCAACATTCTGCTCAGGGCACAGCTCGGAATTCCATACAGGCCATTGCGGCCAGACACAACTCTGTACGACTCGAACGGCAAGCCCGTAGATTTACACCGAGATCAGCTGGTCGAGAATCTGTACAATGACTGCCTCGACCGGGTCAGCGAATACAAGTTTAAGCAGCCCACCTCCAAGCTGATCGAGGGCAACAGGGAGTTGATTGATGAGGGCAAGGATAGCTCCGCGGAAGCCTACAAGACCATACGGCAGGTAGAGGAATCAACTGCCGCTCAGCCGCATGCGCCGCCTGTGTCGGAACAGAGCATAGCACCACAGGTGAATCTTGTCCCGATCTCCTCGGACCGTGCTACAGGCCGCGTCCACACCGAGCCTGGCACGCCAGGTGCACTTAAAGCAGCATACAAAGCGAAACTCTTGGGATGGGCCTTGAAGCAGGGTGTTTCAGAAGATGCCGACCTTGACCTCGAGACACCGGCCAAAGAGCCTGGTGCCAACCTCGGAAGCGTTGTTGATAACATGTTCGCCCAGTACAGAGATATTGTGGACTTGACCGCACAAGACTACAGGCTCTTGAACTGGCACGTCGCCAACCTGGAGTATAGCAATGCTATCAACTACAACAAACTGAGTCTCCAGGGGTGGGACATTGATGCCGGCAACGAATGGGAAGGGAGTCATACCATGGTCATTGGCGGCTATCAGAGCGTGCCAAAAGGCCTCATGCTGCTGCCTACGCCGCTCGACGTTCGACGAAAGTCACCCGTCAACAAAATAACATATACAACAGAAAGCACGGCAGGTCCAGCGGTAATCGAGTGCGAAGATGGATTTAGGGTGGAAGCTGACTTCGTCGTCAACACGATACCTCTGGGCGTGCTCAAGCATGGTAATATCAAGTTTGAGCCACCGCTGCCAGAGTGGAAGTCTAGTGCCATCGAACGGATGGGCTTTGGTGCTCTCAACAAGGTCATCCTCGTGTACAAGGAGGCCTTCTGGGACGAGGATCGCGACATCTTTGGCGTCCTAAGAACCCCGCCCAATCGGCACAGCTTGGACCAGAAGGACTACGCCTCCCAGAGGGGTCGTTTCTTCCAGTGGTTCAACGTGACCCAAACCAGTGGGTTACCGGTCCTGCTAGCTCTCATGGCTGGCGACGCCGGCTACGACACCGAGCAAACCTGTAACGACGATCTCGTCAAGGAAGCCACCGACGTCCTGCGCCGCGTCTACGGGTCAAAGGTTCAACAACCGATCGAGGCCATCGTAACCAGATGGGCATCGGACAAGTTCGCGCGGGGAAGCTACTCCTCCGCGGGTCCCGACATGAAAGCAGATGACTACGACACCATGGCCAAGCCCATCAGCAACCTCTTCTTCGCGGGCGAGCACACATGCGGCACCCACCCCGCCACCGTCCACGGCGCTTACCTCTCCGGTCTACGGGCCGCCTCCGAGGTGCTCGAGGCGATGCTCGGCCCCATCGAGATACCGACGCCCCTCATCATCCCCAAGGAATCATCCTCCCTCTCTCTCAAGCGCAAAGCCGCAGCCTTATCATCCGAAACCACCACTACTACTGTGACAAACAGCTACGGCACCATGTCCTCCACCCGCAACCCCGAACAAGCCCGTCTCGAAGCCTACGACATCGCCCTCTGGGACTCCATCACCTCGCAAATCGGCCTTCGCCCACAAAAACCCTCCAAACCCGTTGTATCAGGTTACATCTTCTTCAGCAAAGCGCACTACGACGACGCGCGCAAGCGGTGCGAAGCCGGGCGTCGCCCCGGCAAGGGGAAAGCGTCAGGTAACGAGGTCAGGATGATGAGCGCCAAGATGTGGAAGGATGCTTCGCCGGAAGAAAAGAGGCCGTTTGAAGAGCAGGCGGAGGAAAGTAAACGCGTGCATGCGGTGGCGATGAAGGAGTGGAATGAGAAGGCACAGGAGTGGGATCGCAAGGCGACGGAATTGAAGGGGGTTTATGAGAGGGAGAATCCGTATGTGCCGTTGAGTGCGCTGGTTGTTAAGGCTGAGGAAGGAGGGGTTGGAAGTAGCCCTGCTGTTGCTAGTGGTAGTGGGAGTGGGAGTGGAATTGGGAGGAATGGGAGGAGGGCGAGGTGGGCGGGTGAGAAGGTGGGGAGTTATGCGGAGGATGAGGGGAGTGATGTTGATGTTGAGATGACTGGGTGAGTATGATGTGTGTGAGTGAGCGAGTGAGTGAGTGAGTCAGTGGGTAAGGAAGCAAAAAGGGATTTGGGATCGCTGGAAAATGGTCTAAGGAGAAGGAATAGGCAAGGCAGAAAGGCGGGTATGATGTCTTTTCGGTCGCCTTTGGCTGGTGGCTGTATGGGGGTGAATTCGTATGTACGTGTCTTATCAGGCGTTTGGCAAGGCATGAAAGAAGGAGGTGTTGGTGACAACTTGTCTTAAAGTCTAGGTGGCAGAGGAAACAGCAAATACGTTTTTATCATGCCTTTACTTCCACTTCCACGTTGTCCACACACACACATACACACAGCATACTTCTTCGTTCTACTCTTCAACATTGTTCTGATGGCATAGCTGGCATAGATGCAAACGTCGTCTTGTCTAGACCAGGCGGGGAGCAAGTATAAAACTTCACAGCCAATGAAACAACCAGTCTCATAACCGTTGGTCATCCGAGAGACTCTCATCCCATCTTTAATGCCTTTCGTCTGGCTTGGCTAGAATGTACCCATAAATAAGCGGCGGCGGCGCACATGGAGGTGGGTTGGTGGGATAGGATGAAATTACTCGTCGGTTAGGTGCACGCATTGGCCACCCTCTGGGGGCCAGCCATGTGGGGCCTCCCTTTGGGGGCCCGCTTACAGCCAGCCAACCGACTCTCATCGTCCCTTTGAGAGTCGGGATTTTTATATATATTTTGCAAGCGGTATATCTTTTAAAAACCTTATATAGCTAGAACTTCATCATTTTTAATCGTATAATATTGTGAATAGCTTCAAATTGCTCGTCTTAACTAGATCATTTCATTTACTATAGCGCATTTCGATTCTAACATTACTACGCGGGCGGAAAAGGCTATACGTCATTACCTCGCCCGTTAGAAGCGTATAATACATACTAATTCGAAGGGGAATAACCGTAAAGGTAAGAGTAATAGCTCTATGATGAAAGACGTTGTATAATTTTATAACGTTAGTAAACCCGTAATTAAAAAGTATATATAATTTATTTAAAAGGGGAAGGTATTATTAACTAATATAGATACCTATCGTCTGCTAGCGTTAACCCCTAACGAAGATAAGGCTTTCAATATTGTGGTTTAAATTATTAACCGCGGCTACTTTCCCTTAAATAATACTTCCCTCGTTAAATTAACTAACTAATTGCGAGCTTAATAGCTATACCCCCTATTTATTAATGTTTATAGAAATTAGTTTATAGATTAGCGTAAAAAATATTTAGAATTTGAATTTAAAGCGGTTAACTTTAAGGTCATGAAGAGGATAAGCGTTAAAGCTCAATTAAATTCTCTAGAAAATTAATTTAAAGAGGTGAAGGCTATTTATAATAGTTTTAATATTAAGGAAGAGAACGTCTAGAATATAAATAAATTTTCCTTCTAAATAGGGGAAATTAAGGGAATTATAAAAGTATAAAAATTTCCTTGTAGTTATTACTCCTGATATTACCTTATTAGCTTTTACTATATTAATTAGTATAGTAATAGGTACTATCTATAAAGAATAGAGTTCGAACGAGGAAGGTGATATTTAATCTTAATAATAAAGAAAGTTTAACTATTATCGATGCTATATCGGCTATAATAAAGAGTATCCCTTCCTACTTAATATTTAAGGTATAAATTATAGTGAGATTAGGCTATTTTATTTATAATTAATGTTAATTTTACTAATTCGAATATAAATATAAAAGAACGTATAAGTTAGTTATAAGATTGATCTCAATGTGGTTATTATTAATATATTAACTAAATATAATAATGCCTATTGAATACTATAATAAATTAAATATTTTAATAAATATTCTTTTAAATTATCCTCCTCCTTCGACGGCTATACTATTGACGATTAGTTTGGTTTATTATTTAATTGCTCGCTTCCTTTTAAAAGATTAGAACCTTTTGAAAGGGATAGAGTAACTGTTAGTTTCTTGTTAGTAACGAAACCGAAGGTATATTAAGTATTATTTATAAATGGATTTAAAGCTTACAAGGACTTATATATTTTATAGTCTTATAAGGCCTTCAATATTATACTTTATATTCTACCCTTATATATTAACTATATATTTTAATTATTCGTTATAGGGGTTTATTAAGTAGTTAAGAAGGCTTATTAGAAAGCTCTAATAGACGAAATTACTAGTGGGGCTATTAATATTAACCGTATAGTCTTTTTAAATAATTGGAAGAAGGTTAAGGAAGCGGGCTTTATTTAAAGTAATATTTATAAAGGATAGGAGAAAATTAGTCTTTAACTATTTAAATTGAATATATTAATTATAACTATAATAAAATTACGTAGGTATAAGGTTAACAAGATTTACTAGACGTCCTCTTCAATAAATTTCATAAAATTATAAAAATATAATAGGAATTTTTATTTCCTAATTACTTTAAAGTTGTAATTCTATATAAAGTACTACGTAGGTTAAAATTACCAATTATTTAATAACAAGTCAATAAGTATAGTTCGCCTATTAAGAAGGTTTATAACGAGGCTAAAATTGCGTTTAAAGTGTTTATTAATACTTAAAAGTTAGTATCTAATTAGTAAAAATATTATAGACGTTATATTAAAGTTAAAGCCTAAAAATAGAACCTTTGTAAGTATATGGCTATTAGTAATAGAGCTTATATAAAGGAGGTTCTTAATGCTAAGGTTGTAGCGAAAAAGGTGGTTGATATAGAGGAAGGTTTGAAAGAGACTTAGCGAGCTAGTATAGCTTTTATTAAAAAGGTTGCCCTCGAGGAAAACCTTGGACTTAAGTAGTGGCTTCTACGTAAAGGAAAGGCTAAGAAAAAGGCTGAGCCTAATAATACTAACATCCCTAACAATTACAGCCTTATTTATATAATAAAGAATAATCCTAAATATAATAGAATTTTATTAATGAAAGAGAAATAGGACGAGGTTATTATTGAGAAAGATTGCCGTACTTTGTTTACTAGTATGGGTCTTAATTATTTATATTATATATTAGAAATGTATGCTTTTAAAAAGGTATTGTTAGATTAGAATATAGATACTTTTTTTATTGGCTTTGAAGACGAGGAGGATTTATATTATAAGTTTATAAGGAAGGCCACCCTTCTTGGTTACTATGAAAATTTTGTACTTTTTAAAATATATATTAAGAAGCGGGCTAGGAAAGTTCAAAGAGGAAGTTCGTCTTTAGTCGAGTTTTTCCTTAATAACGAAGGTATAGATATACTTAGTAAACTCCTAACTATACCGCAGCACCCCTATTTAATAAGTATATAAATACGAGTTGGGCCGTCGTTTAGACTATTTACTTTAATACTATGCCCTCCTAGAAAAAGGTTTAAGAAGGGAAAGGAGAAGGCTATTAATATAGATTTTGACGAGGAGGTTACTATAGTAATTATAACGGTAGCAGGTATGAAGCTAAAGGTGCTCGTAAGCTGTACAAGGGTAATAATTATTATAAACGACGATTTTAATGATAATGGGAGTTTACAAGGGGAGGAGAAGGAAGAGAAGGAGTTGGATATTGTATTGTGAGTACGGGCTATAAAGACTTTATAATACTATAATAATATATTACGATAATTTAATTATAAAAGAAATATATTACTAAATGCGCGTAATCGAGATTATTAATCTGAATATTTTATTATCTTTTTTGCTTGTGTTTTGGTAAAGATATGGATTGTTAGGGTTTTTAAAAGATATACCGCTTATAAAATATATGTAAAAATCCCGACTCTCAAAGGGACGATGAGAGTCGGTTGGCTGGCTGCAAGCGAGACCCCCAGAGGGTGGACTCCACACCTAACCGACGAGTAGGTACACAAGCCAACTTATCCGAGCTCACTGAGACGGAAGCCGCTCCCCACATCACCACCTGCGGCCCTCGGTCTGGATGAAACTTGCATGCGGCGTAGTTAGGTTGCTTACTGAGAAACTCGCCAACGAATGAATACTGGATGAGATTGTCATGCATCTGTAAGCGCTCATCCCAGCTGTATTTTGTTGTGTGGACTGAGACTACAATAGCTATTTCCTCGAGGCTTACTAACCACGGAGTAGGCAGGTGTGAAAGAAGTCGTACATTTCATGGACTGAAGGCGTTGGTACAGTAATGAGAAAGCTAGCTCATTAAATGGTATGGAGGAAGACATTGGCACGCAACTTTTTGGACTGGGACCAGACATACCACACCACACACACTCATATACTTTCGACCGTGTTGATGATGCATGGATGAATGTTAAGTGAGAGTGCAGATAGGGATGGATTTCGGCTCTGGTCCTTTTTCTGTTCAGGTCTCTCCTCCTCTCCTTTTCTTCTCTCAACATCAACATCAACAACAACACATCTTCGTCTGCTATTAATAAACTGCGGTTGTTTAGGCTGCTGTTTACATATCGGCCGAAGCGGTGGCACCAGTGATAATTTCGACCAACTCGCCGGTAATGACGGCCTGGCGGGTACGGTTGAAGAGAATCTGGTACTTGCTGATCATCTCGCCGGCGTTCTTGGAGGCGTTCTGGATAAGGGGTAAGAGGATTCACGTCAGTAGTCTGTCCGTCGTCGACTTCAAAGAGGTGGCATGGGACGGGAGAAGAACTCACGTCCATGGCGTTGCGACGGGCAGAGATCTCGCAGGCGTGACCCTCGCAGAGAGCCCAGTAGAGGGAGTTGGCGAGGGCGTACTCGCGGAGGTTGCCAAGGACCTCCTCATCAACCTCGAAAGCGGAGAAGTTGGCTGGATATAACTTTGTCAGCTAGCTGAACCTCGACGGGCATCATGGTGGCCGACAGGACGTACGGGAAGCGAGGATGGCCTCCTCGGAAAATGCCTCAATGACGGTGGGCTCGTAGCTGGTGGCGTTGATGAACTTGTTGTAGACAATCTCAACGGAAGAGTAGTCGCCCTTGAGCTGGGTGATCTGGTCGGCGATGGCAGAGGCCTCGACGAAGGTGGGAATGTCCTTG